CCTACCTTGTGGCAGTTTTATGGGTTGGACCCCTGTTACTTTCAGGACGACAATGCCAGTTGTCATGTTTCGACGTTAACCAAAGCTTGGTATGGTGCCAATGGAGTTCATCGAATGGACTGGCCAGCCCAGAGTCCAGACCTGAACCCTATCGAGAACCTCTGGAACGAGTTGCATCGCCGAATTCAGAGATGCACTACCCGTGCAAAATCGGTGAAGGAACTTCTATGTCTTCTTCAAGCCAAGTGGAAGAAAATACCACTAGCTGTCATACAAAAACTTAGTATGCCCCGGCAGGTCCACGCTGTAATTAGCTTGTCTACCAACTATTGATTTTGAATAAAGTTAGCTTTTCTTTTCTATCACAGGTGTCCAAATACTTATAGGTAGTCAGTGTAGTCCATGTTATGAATTATGTGTGCTATTCAGTTTCATTAAAAGTAAATTCCTTTCATGGAGAACGTAATTAAAACACAGAACATCAACAGGAGACAAAACTGTCTAGACTGTTGACTGTTGTTTTAAGGATATTTCACTACATTTTTTCCTTCTTGGAATTCATGAGAGCATTTTCTCAAAAGATTAATATTTTATTACTTATACAAAGCTTACACCATTGAATTGACTATTGTGACTATTCTTAAATAATTGAAAATAATTTTTCTTTTTTTAAAAGTAATATTTTTACTGTAAAAAAAAAAAAAAAAAAAAAAAAAAAAAAAAAAAAAAAAAAAAAGCAGATTCTTGATATTGATTTGATGCTTTAGTAAAATTAATTCATGAAGTTTGTTTGGAAAGAAAATCAGCATTTGAAGCAAATAGCAATACAATATTTCCAGCTTTTTCAATAAATTTATTCTTAAATACAAAAATAATTAAACAGGAAGAAAATAATAGTAATAATTTATACAAAAATAATAAACAAAAAAAGAGTAATAATAATTTACACAGAAAAAATAAAATTTTTGCAAGCATTCATTTTTTAAAGAATTTTCACAATAAAATGAAAAATAATGGATGGGATCAATCATCTACAGGATCATACACAGCATGCATGATCCTGAGCTTAACTTTTGTTTTAAGAGTTCCATCCATATTTTCCAATTTATTGTGAAAACTCATTAAAAAATGCATGTCATCATCATAGATTTCTTGTGAGATCAATTCATTATTTCGTTCGGATACGATGTGCTCCATATTAAAAAAAATGTTGCCTTCGATGAAACAGCGAAATCATCTAAAGAAAGCCGCTTTGTTTCAGCTTTGCTCTGATTGGTTGACGCTTATTCCAAACTCGGCGTAAAGTTGAAAACTTCGAATCTTGTGCCACGAGCCTTAAACCAGATTATGTGATGTAACACAGACTGGTTGCATTGGCAACGCAGCTCAGCTTTAACCACTTATGCACTTTATGCCCCCGTCTGAACACAGCCTTACATTCCATGTTCATTCAACTCTGGTAAGAATGACCTGCATATCATTTCATGTAGATGGGAAAATATTAACCCTTGAAGAAATATTCTTTGAATTCTACTCATTAAAAAAAATTTGTCAGAATTAATATATCTTTACCTCAAAAGCCACAAACTGACCAAAAAGACTCTTTTTCTATAAAGGAACAGATAGATATATGTTTGCGAAAAAAATATTTTCATTAGAATGCTTACAAATCATATTTGTATAGCTTAATAAATACACCAGAAGCTAACAAGCTTAATTATGAGTCAAGTTACAAACAAAAATTTTTATGCCGTTCTTTAATTAAAAGAAGCAAATCAAATACAAACCCATTCACTTTAATTTGTTCATTGCACTCAGAATGTAATCAGTTTTTTATATAAACTGGCTTCTAAAATTATTTTTTACAAACTGCTGAATAAAACTAAATGTATTTCAGATAGAACACAGCATCATGACAAATAAATAAAAACTGAAATATTCAACACGAATGCATGTAACACAAAATTAAATGAAATACATAAAATTTAATAAAACATGTAACAAAGAAATTAGAAAAAGCAAATTTCCAGGAAACAAATGCAAGTTTTCCTAATGTATAATTTTTCTAACTGGTAAACCCATATTACAATGCGATTTCATGCAAATGAAGTAGACAATTAGAGCTTAAGGAACATAAATTCCATTTCTCCTTTAAGATAGTCAAGGCACAAATCCCTAGAAGATTTCAACAAGCAGTAGCTCTTTCAAAGATGCCCATAAGTTGTCTGAGATGTTTAAGGTCTTTCATCTGAAGAATTTCATTAATCTGTTTGGCTCAATGCAGATGCAAATTAGCATCCATATAAAAGGAAATTCATATCCAAATGCATCTCTAAAAAGTCATGTAGAGTTACAAAACTTCATCTTACTATCTCTGGGCAGAAAAAGCCTCTATGAAATAGATATATATCACATTCCTGGCCCCTCATGATGAAACATTTTAGTATCAATGTTAAAAAAAAATCTAGTGCTAGAAAACTGCTATTCAAGTTGCAAAAAGAGTAACTAAAACTTGGATTCGCTCATTATTAAGATAACACAGGACCACACTGCAGACACAAGTCTAGCTGAGGGCAAAAAAGTGCAACTAAAAATTTTATATTGGCTAGTGAAGATAATACAGACCTACATTGTGAATACCAGGTCTAGCATGAAATAAGGTAGGCCCAAAATCTACAGAATTCTGGATTCACTATGATACTGCAGACACTAGATCTCACATGAATTCAGGTAAGGCTTTTTGGCTGCAAGGACAATGAAACATCAACTATACAGTATATTAGGTGTTTGTCATTAAACCATCGATATACAGTTTTTATTGAGATATAAGAATTCCAGTTTCAGCAGCAGAATACGAAACCAGTCAAAATCTTATTGTGATGGGCTTAAAAACTGATTTAGAAAGAAATGTAATTATTTTCCTACTAGACCCTTGACCTGACTTTTGAACAATAATTTTAATGACATTAAATTGTGTGCACAGGAAAATTTTCATCATGAAATATTCAAACATTTCCTAAGCTAATTTTGGATTATCTGCTCTGTTTTAAATAACTGAAAGCCTCCACTTGCAAAATTTTTCTAAAAGGAACTTTGGTACTATTTAAAAAAGTTTTGTTTTGATAAACACTGATATAAAATCCTGAATGTGAAAGTTTGACATTATACAAAAGGATTGCTAAACGGTTAGACAAGAAACAGACTGACCAATTTAGACTGGATAATTTGGTCTGTGTTTTGTTCAATAAAAACAATCTGATGTGGATAACACATGACTTCCTTGTACAGAATATTAAATTATATGCATTTCATCTAAATTTATTTCCTCGAATTTCATTGGATACATTTCTTATTCAATTAATTCAGTTCTCACACCACGACAAGGCAAAAATACATAAAACCTCAAAATATCTTCATTAAAAATTTTAAAATGTAGAAAAAGATAAAACACCAAATACAGTTAAAACATAAAAATTCAGAATTAAAATTAGAGTTTCTATGCAAAAACAAATGGCCAGCAGGCAAGAAGGCAGACTTTTTAGTGCACAAAACTGAAAGTTTACTTTTGGTCCCACTCGGCAAAAAGAACAGAAGGTGCAGAAACTGATTTAATTCACTATTCTGCTAAGTTTCAAATGCAAACAAATATGGCTGCTGTGATTAAAAAAAAATAGGCTTAAACAACTTTTAAATTGTTGATAATTTTACAGCTATTGCATGCACATTAACTAAAGGCATAAAAACCTTAATCAGAAGATAAGAACAACATAATTCAATCATAAAAAGAGGCGGGAATTCATTACTTCATGAAGTATCATTACTTTTATGTGTGTAAAGAAATTTTGGATACTATGATATTTTGAAAAAATAGGGCATCAAGGTTATTTTCATAAATACTGAACCTAAATGTGTCCTACTTAAAGAGTTTTTCAAAATAAAATAAAGAATTTTATGAAAGCAGGTCTAAAACTTAACTGTAATATTTATGTTAATTAAAAACATCTTTTTATATAACCTTCCATACAGCAGTAATAAAAACTTCATTATGTTTAAATAATTTAAATGTAAGAAATTCTTTATATCCAAAATTTACAAAAATATTCAAGAATGAATTTACTGACTTAAGATATTATTTAAACAATCTAAGTAAAAGTATGAAACATAAGCTGTTTGCTTTAAGAGATAAGTGGTCCTGTACTTTTTGGGGGGGGGCATTCTTTTATTAATTTTATCACTAGCCCCATAAAACTGTTAGTCACTATTCTATAAGCAATTATACATAAAGCTAGTGAACATTTTGCTTTTGACTTAAAGCATTGTGAATATTATACTGACTGGGAATTTCTGTTCCAAAAGAAGCTATTAAGAAGAAAAATTAGATTTTATATTAACAAATGTCTCCTTCCTCACTGCTGACACTTCTGTAAAGTCCTTTACCATATTTAAAGAAATTTTGTAATTAGTAATCTATGGAATCAGAGGTACATAAATAAGGCAATAAAGCTTATTGGGAACTTTTCTGAATACTTCATATATACATCTTCATTCATAAATGCATTAAATCACTACAGACTGCATTATGTTGGTATCCAAGCGTAAAATATAAACAAACATCACTTAAAATTTTCATAAGAACAACAGCATTTTGTCAATCTAAATTTACGACAATTAATATCCATTAACTTAAAACGATAATCAGTTATTTTCTGAATTTTGAGATTATAAAATTTGATCCAGCATAAAGTATCATGAAAAAAACTGATTTTAAATGATTGACACAATTCTGGACATTCCTAAGAGACATCCAAATTTTGATTCTGAACCTTTGCCTTTAGGGTGGGTATCTAGACTTTATTTTAGCCACTTTTATATGGGATCTTTTTCAATATGACAAAACTGACAACAGGGGAAGGCAGATTAATTAAATTTGTTAGAAAACTGCTATTCAAGCTGCAGACACAGAAATCTTATAAAACTATTAGCATTTGACTGCCATTTACCTTAAAGCACAAAGTTTAGCAGCATGGTTAATATCCTGTAAACTTGAATTATATTGTTTCAATTGTTTAGTAATGGTTTCATATTCTGGATGAGCTGGTGACAATACAAGTTTAGGATGATTGCATACTTTCCGTAAGTACTGTAGAGCCTGATTTAAAAAAAAAAAAAAGAAAAAGAAAAAGAAAATATGTATATATATATATATATGAATGAATGAATATATAATTACATTGCAAAACAATATTTGTAAGAAATATGAAATCTGGAAATTTACAGAAATTTTTTTAGTGGGGGGCAAGACTACAAAGTAAAAAAAAAAAAAAAGTATATTATGCATGTCTATTTTATCATTCACTGCCTTAAAATTTATAAAAGTTGAATTAAGAAATACTAGGCCATAAACATACTTAAATTATCTTTTTTATTCATACTGAATATATTTCCTCACGGATTGCTCATATTAATTAATAATTCTACATTCTCTAAACACCGAGAAGTTCACCTACACAGATTAGCTACCTAACATCAAAATGAATTTCACAGCTTAATTCACATAATTTTTATATCCTAAAAGAAATTACAAATAACTTTAAACTACTAATTTAAAGTATTGTTCTAGTTTTAATTAAATTCAGTGTGAAAACAGAACAACCATTTTGATTAAAAATAAAATTTTAAATAAGTAGGAAATAAATGGTTATTAAAGATCAAATAACTTTTATATGTAACAAGTGTTCAGAAATCACAGGGATGAAAAATCACCCACAAGACTAAACCCTATAGTTTTTTAAATTGCCATTCAAAAACAAATGCTGAATTTAGTAAAAATTAAGAAATATACACCTATAAGCATTTCTTTAAAGCTTTTCATGCAATTGTTATTCACAAAAGGAAATGCAACATTTTTATCATAAATGGCTACTACTGTATTTTTATACATCACAAAATTTTTAGTAAATTAATTAAGAAACTGCTGCTATAATGTCTGAGCACATAAGCTATTTTCATATTTTTAATTTTCAGAGAATATTTTCCAACAATACAGCAAAATTGTCTTTAAACTAAAGGTATTAACTATACAAATGGTTCTCACAACTGTATAACTTGAGGTAGAATATGCATATAATAGTAAATAATAAGAAATTAAAGTAATATGAAATAAATGATTAAAAAATATAAAAATTTTACTTGGAATATATGAGAAGTTCCAGCAGGAGAATTTGAAGCTTCACCTTCAGTGATAACATCTTCAACAGATTGCCTAGCTCTACTTTTTGCAAAATCTTCATATAATTGTACCTGGCAGTGTGCAAAACAAATACACAGTAATTAAAAGATAGGTAATGCTTAATAAAATTTCAAAAATGACTGAAAAAGAACAATTTAAAAAAATTGCTGTAATAAAGTATCATTTTAAAATGTTATTACGTTAGAGAAAAACATTAAATATTTTATAAGAAAAAGCAACTGGTGTGCAATTTGGATCTCAACAAGCCTTTTTGATTCAGTTTAAAATTATGAACAAATTCTGTACTTTTTAAACATATTTTGAAAGTTTAATATGATTCTTAAAATCATTTTCTAGACCCATGAAACTTTTTTCATTGCTTTTACGACTTCATGGCTTTTGTTAAGCAGATTCTCTTGAGGTAAAAATTATATAATTCTTGATAAAAATTATTTACTTAGAATGAGAATTGTCAGTTAAATACATGATGCAATAAAATTGAAAACAATAATACATAAATATACAATTTATGAAAAGTTCCAGTAAAAATGCTTTTAATTTTGTAAATTATAGAATTCTTCTAAGATTACCATACAAAAATCTGAATTTAAATGTACTGCATGCAGAACAAACTATTCATTTCCAAATCAGTACTACAATAAAAGCTTAACTTTCTAGAAAGTTTGGAAAATGTTGAATGCCAGATATGTGAATATTCTAGATAGCTGAACATATAAAAATTGCCTTTCACAACATAAGAGCTAAATGAATGGAAGAAAATAAAAATTGCCTTTCATGATAAAAAAGCTAAATGAATGGAAGAAATTCCCAGTCTAAAATTATATAAAACAATCATCTTATTTGTCATCAATTCAAGTATCAAATGCTGACATTTAATATGATTTAAGATTCTGGGGGGAGGATCATTTCAGTCATTAAAGTATGCAATTCATAGGGCTTAAACATATGAAAGTAAAACATCTTATCCAATTACGGATCATGAAAGTTACCGGAGATGTTGTCGACCCTAAGCAAATCCAAATCATTATTTAGTTAGGTAATTGGGGGCATCTGAAAACTTAATTTCCTTATCATAGTTTTCATATTGCATTGTCACCTTCAAATAAAATCTCATTTGTGTTCATTAACACATACGTTTCTTTACGCCAGGATCCTGTAACTTTAATACTCTACTGCATACTGTTACATAGAAGGCAGGTCCTAAATTTTAACATTTTTCAAAATGTGAGAGAAAAACAGATAAACCAGAGTTCATACACATTTTTGCATATGGGAATAAAGTACTTTTAAAGACCATTAATGAAAAAAATTAAGGACCCATCAACAAATGGGAACTGAATAAATTCAATTAAAGATATTAGCTATGCCTGAATTTTATTTTTGTGATACCAAAGAATAAAATAGAGCCACAAGTAGAATGCATTACTATTAAACATCATTTAATAAACATAATTATAAAACAAATTTGAGAATAAAATCAACTTTATGAAATTTATCATGTAGCATTAAATATTTTACCCATTATAATAGTTGGACATATTTGAAAGAAGATTAGTGACATTTTATTTACGTTTTACTAACAGTTAGCTTTATGTTGAATTTTTCTTTTATGTCTTATTTTGTCACGTATGTTCTCAGTTTAGAGGCTTAGTATATATCAAGTAGATTTTATGGCAAATGGCATAGGTTAAAATGAGAAGTAAAATCATAATCCGCATGATTCATAACAAAAGACTGGCTGTTAGTCACCACTGCTGCTTGCCAAGGGAGAAACCTGCTGATCAGAACAAACCTGAAAGGCCTGATGTAGGCACAGTTGGTAAGTTTTGACAGTTAGTTGGGCTCTGTCTGACGCATTTGGCGTCATAGCTTTGTGTAGAGTTCCAGTGGTTGTAACCCAGTTAATATGCTTTAAGATTCCAATAAGCCACTAAAGCACCAGAGGTGATAAGTTGTTTTGTATTATTTTAAGTCTCACTAGATATGAGGAAGTTTTACATTAATTTTTAGATTTTTGTGTTTTGTCTTGTGACCACGGTAAGAATTAATGAAAGGGAATGATTGCTTTAATATGCAGAGATAATTTTTAAGGGTAAGCAGTTAGTTATAAATATTTAAATTAGCTAGTTAGATATACACCCTTAGTCAATATAGATTTACATGCCACTAGTAAACTTATCTTTTAAAAATATTTGTTAAAAAAGCATTAAATCGCAATCTATTAGCATGTCACAGTTTAAAATACATATAATTTATGACATTGATTCTTAAACAATATGAGATTAATCACAGATTAAAAGCTACAAAACATTTACATTTTGTAGCAACAATGCTCAACAAAATATTTATACCTCTTTTCAATTTGAAGCCTTTCCAGACATTCTGGCTAATTTATATCAATTTCCTTTCCCTTAAGCATCTTTTTTTTTAAAAAAAATCAGAAATTTGTTTCAATAAGCAAACCAATATTCTCACTAGTTGTTTCTGCATGTTTTATTTCCTAATAACTTGTCAACCTCTCGACTACATACCTATCAGGTTTTACTTGATCTGATAAAAGTTAAATAGTCCAAAACCTCTGACAGAATAAGCAAATTATTGCTACGTTTGAAAGTGAGATAAAGGTTTAAATAAACCTCTTATTTAAAAAGACCTTGGAACATAAAGTCATGTTCTTATGCTAGCAAAATCAACTACAGTTTATGGTAATCCAATTACACATGAATAGTCAAATTAAAACTAAACATGTGGACTAGTAGTCAAAGACTACACAACTTAATTTTAATCTAAGCTGGCTTGGTAACACGTAACAACAAACTTGTAACTCGTAACACATTTATCGCATAACAAATTCAAATATCAGCAGCGATAACAAAAAACTAATGATTGCAAATTGTCAGAGCTGACAGGCACTAATGCAGCATTCAAGCCAAAGACCAAAAACACACTCTACTTGACAATCCAAAAACCTTAGTTTAGAAACTATATAACTGACTTCGCATTCTGGTTGCGAAAAGGGAAGTTACAGTAAAGACTGAAATTACAAATAACTAGTTAATTTACATAATAATAACTATACATATCTTTGAAAAATAATTTTCTTTCTCTTTATGTATTCGATTTCTTTTTTTAATTTGTTTCCTCTTCATTTTAGAATTTTTGGATTCAATTAAAGATTTCTGTTATTTTGAAAAACTAAATGCATTTCAGAGTGTATACGAAAAGATGCTAATTTGTTTTCTTTAGTAATATAAACATTTAGAATAAATATGAAATGATATATGGTAAGGGCCCGTTACAGAGCCGTTGTAGCAGAATTTTTAGAATTTAGTGACACACTGAGCAGCAAAATCTAGAAATGGCAAAACTTTAGAATTTAGGAAGGCACTAGGCAGCAGAATTTAGGATCCACAGAGATTGCATCATTTGAGAAAATGCTTAGCACCAGCCTTGTATATGATGTACAGAGCCATAGCTAGGGTTTTCAGTGTCCGGGGGCAACTGAAGATTTTGCACCCCTCCTTTCTGTATGCCAAGAATGAAAAAAATTTCATTCTAAAATTTTGTAATATCAATTTGGCACCCCATAAATGCTGCGCTAGGGGACAAATGTCCCCCCCTGCCCCACCTTAGCTACATGATGCATTGAGACAAATATGATGAATCTTTTATGATCATATTATATGTGATAATTGTTTTATGACAGCTTTCGATTTCTTTATTAATAGAAAAAATCCTTTCTATAAATGCCTGCCCATGTAATAAGATCAGAAGCATTTTTGATATTTTCCGTGCATGTGTCTAGCGAAAAGTAGAGAAAACAAAGGGAAGATAAATATGTTAAGAAAGAGACTTCTAGTATCAGGAGTGAAACATTCAAATATTATGTTTTCATTGTTCTTCCGAAAAATCTACAAAAAGTAAAAGTTCATCATAAACTTTTATCATAAAACATCAAAAAATACATCCATTATGTGTTAATACCATGAAGACATTTTTCAGGAATCTTTTAGATTCGTGGGTCTATAAAATCTTGATTCAAATCCTTCCAAACTTTCCAAGTTGCAATCTCTAAAATCCTAAATAAAAATTACCCCTACCAATTCTGTAACAGCAAAAAGCCAGAAATATGTTGTGGGGGGGGGGAAACCAGAGAAAAAAGTGTAAAATTAATTTTATAGAGAAAATTGATGCATATTGAGACAATTAAACAGGAAAAAACTCTCACCATGAAAAAATTTAAATGAAAGCATTTTTAACTAATTACTTAGCTATTTTGCTTTTGCTATGACTTGTTTTGTAAATTGCGCTAAAGCGCAAGTTATGCATTTATTATCTTGTTTATTTTTCAGATTTAAAATGTTACATAATAAGCTGCCAAAATGGAAAGTAATGTCACTTTATAATATGATAGCGAAGAATAAAAATGTTTCATTTTAATGTTATTTATTGAATACTATTTCAATATATTAGCATTATTTTAATGAAGTTCATCAATGTTATAATATTTAAAAAAAAATTATCATCGAAAAACTCCCAGATTTCCGAATTTTAAATTTTCTATAGAAACTGGTCTTAAAATCACCAAAATGTTGATAAGTCACCAAATATGGAACGGTTTAATTTTCACATTCCCCAGAACAAAAATTTGTTTAAGAGCTCTTCATTAGAAAAAATTAAATAATTTTGAAATGCTTATGTTTCGCTTCTTGCTCAGAAACTTGAGTATCCTACCCTTTATATTAGAAATAGGAAAAAATTATAATCTATGAACCTATTTACTCATTCAAAAGATAACTATATTTAGGTTACATTTGTCAATGAATTGCCAAAAATATTTGTCCAAAATGTTAATTCACATTCAAAACGGCAGTCGTAAAAACACACAGAAATTTCAGATGATTAAAATGAAGGACCTCCTGCTGAATTTGGCCAAAATTAAGGACTTTTAAGGGCCATACAAACCCTGTAAAAAGCAGTTAATTTATATCCTGCCTTACACAAACTAAACTGACTTATTGAGAATTCATTGGGCTTATCTTAAACTAGGGAGAATATCATATGAGAGTGTTGGGACTTATCCATTATTGGTGCTAAATCATACTGTTAAATGAAAGTGCTCTATACATATTTATAGGTCTCAATTTTTGAGGACGGGGCAATTTCCAAAATATTCTGGTTACTTCAGCTTCTCAGTTAACTGAAAGCCAGATATATAAAAACATGTCAGGTTAATAGGGTGCTGGGCCTTCACTATATGTATAAAATTCTATTGGTTGAGATTTAAAATTGTAAAATACTGACTTTCCAGTTGTAGAGTGGGCACATAATAATATAATGCCTTAAACCACAATGCACATTTAACTAAGGACATAACACATAAGAATTTTCTTTTTACCTGTAATGGGCTTAATTCACAATAATAATCTTGAATAATTTTAGGCGGTAGATCTTTAAGTACATCCTCCTTCATTCTTCTTAAAAGAAAAGGTAATACTTGACGATGTAATGATTCCATTGCTAGAACACCTAAGAATGTAATAATCATCTTGTTTATATTATTTCACTAATATTGATTTTTTTATGATTGGTAAACTATCTAAGGAGCTGTATTATTATATATGACAGCCAAAATAAACACTAAAAACCTATTAGTAATTATCAACTAATAATTTGCAATTATTTCAAAAATTTGAACTCGCTCAAAATTACTTAAAGGTGTATAATTAATTTCCACCTCACAGAGACATTATAGTAAACTAAACTCAGTGGTGGAACGGCCTGCAGTGCCCTTTTTCTGCTTTCTTGACCTATGGGCCCTGGATTGGATTAGATTGGATTACTCAATTATGGCAAAGCACACGAGGGCTATCTGCCTAAAGGGAGGGATGCCTTCGTGGAGGACTTTCTAAGAGAAACTGGCTCATATACATGTTACACATGGGAAAAACCATGAAAACGGCCATGCAGCCAGCCCGTTCGCGGGATTCGAACCTCGGACCGAACTACCAGTGTCCAGTGTCTTTACCGCTCGGCCGCTGGTGGGCCTATGGGCGCCGGAGTGCATCAGCATATGCCCTGGACAAGTGGTCAGCTTGTTGCAGGACCACCGGTGTTTAGTCCCCAAGCGAACTTGGTACTCATTTTTATTGACCTATGATTTCAAGGGATAAAGGCTGAGTCAACCTTGCCCAGCCTCGGGATCAAACCATGAACCTGTGATGCAGGTGTATGATGTACTAGCCACTTAGCCATCAGGTGAGACATTATACTTAGAGATGAATATATTACCATAACTGTCAACGTCGAAATCTAAAAACAAAAGAGTGGGGAACTTCCCCCTCTGAAAATCAGGAGAAACAGGGAAGCTTTCAACCTGTATGGCGAAGCCTGACTTGAATTCACTGTATAAAGCATGATTCAGGTTACTGAACTATTCCTGATATGATTCTGAACATAAAATGTATTAATATTTAATAAGATAGTCTAAATTTTACATTATTTTGCTAATTTCATTATTTTAATATTCTTACACAATTATACTGTGTTGAATAACTTAAAATTAAGTATTGTTTACTTTTTTACTATTGTTACCATTGTCTTTTTTACCATTGTTAAATATCTGAAAATTTGTTTTATATACTCTTTAAACTTAACAGAAACTGATGGTGCCGGACAAAACTATTTAAAAAATCAAATGATTCAAAACACTCATATATCATATCTACATTCTTATAAACAATCGTATAGTGGTAGTACAATTTAACTTTTAGGTTCGCATTGTGAGTAACCTATGCAAAGGAAAAATCAATAACCTAAATTCAATTAAACTCCATGTTTCATAAAAGCCTCCCGGCTCAAACAAATGGAGGAACATGACTGACCACAGTAACTTATACACTAAAATAAACAAATGAAACATAAAATATATATCAAACACATTTATTAATTTCTAGAATATTCAAACATATTTTAACTAGGTAAACTGATCAGTCCCCTACAAATTAACCTTAAGTTGCAAATTAACATCTATATCATTTCAAATCTTACACTCATGTTAAGTGTAGGAGTACTAATTTTTTTTTAACATTACATAACTCACAATTTAGGTGGTTGTACCAATTTTCTAATTATTCGTTTACAGGTATATTTAAATAACTTGTCATTATTTAAATCTTCAAATCATTTCGTTTACAAGTACATTAATATAACTACTCATTATTTAATTCTCCTATTCACTTCATTTACACATACATAAATATAGTATCATTACTCGGTTACAATTTAAATACAAAAGACAGAAAAAAAATCACTCACAGGGTGAAGTTCATACATCAAACTCCTATTTTCTCACGTGTGCCATCATCGACGGATAAGTACAGCGTTTTAAATAGTTCAACAGATCGTCCAACTCATTTCATTGACTATTCGAAGAAATACACAAAACCCAAATCGTGCTGCTTACCGGATGCAGGTCAATGATACACACTGCATTCAAGAACACTTCAATCAAGTTAAAACCCCAGGAAAATATTGGTATCAGGCAGCCTTTCTTTTAATCAGGAACGCTAACGCTTCAACAAAATCAAGACCCAAGGAAGACACAGGTATCGGGATGCTTCTTTTAAATCCGGAACAGTCTTTATCAGGAACGCTTCAATAAACCAGGAAAAAACATCTTGAAAGGACCCAAACTGGAAAGGCACTAGGCAGGATAAACAAGAAACCCACTGGTATCACCCTGAGAATACCTATTTACAATTCTTGGAAAATTATAACGAAGGAACGACGATGCTATAAATATTTGCGATGAGCTCTAGCGCCCCCTTCTTTTTTGAACTTAATTTCTCATCTGATAAAAGCCGGGAATCCATAGCCGCAGCCCGCTGGTATACGCCGCTCGCGAGAGCAAGACCGCGAGGGTCAAGCCCCGCCACTCTTTCTCTTCTTACTCTTAGCTTTAAAATCAGAATCAGATATATATTTTTATTAACTGAACTCTAGCCTGGTGCAAGCACCCAGGAAATCTTGGTTTCTCCGCCTCTGTAAGTTCATAGGCTTTCAAAATCATAAAATTAAAATCACACCAATGCCGGAATTTTACATCACCTAAACTGAGAAAATGACACACCCATGACGAATCAAATACCAGAAAATCTGACTATGCAGTCCGACACAACGTGAGAAAAAAAAATGGACCCCCCAACTAACAAGCGGAACTAAGCTTTATGAGAATCCAATTACCTAAGCTTAGTTTAACCCCCACTGTCTTGAAGTAACACAATGGAAACTTTAACAAAGCGAAGGCAAGACGATTTTTGTTTCACACGCCATTAGAAAAAGGCGACAACACAACACCCTACTGCCGCCATTGTTAGTAAAAAGGCCATAAACCAGATGGCTCTTGCAACCGTTTCCTGTCGTTGTTACACTACGCTTTCAAGAACTACCAGTTAAATAAGGCTTTAACAATTTAAGAATACTTTTTTTTCCAGATTAAAATACACATGAATACAAATAAAAATATTAGAATAAGAATAACTTAAAACACATATTAATAATTAAAATTTGCGATATAACAACTGAGAAAATCCAGAGTAGGGAAGGAAAGCTTTTATTTACCAAAATACTTTCAAAAATGAATCTAATAAAATTAATAATGAATGTATACAGTGTTTGTGTGGATAAATTTCATAATGTACGATATATCAAAGTAAAATAAAATTAAACACAAATATTATTTAGCCATTGGTTGAATTCTACAAATGCTTACAGTTCAGTAAGCAAATTCAGATCAAATGAAATTTTAATAAAAAAAAATTTATATAAATAAAATTTAATAAGAAAGAAATCATAAAATGTGAAATAATAATAATAAATAGAAATACAATTTATATATACTTTAATAGAAAAAATTATTCTGAAATTCATTAGGGGTGGGGGAATGCAATTTATGTTTCATTAATTCAATAAATCTCATTCATTACAAGGAAACATTTTTGACAGTAAAAGCTAAAAAATTAAAAACTGGGAGATTGAGTGATCTACTAGAACACCAACACACCTATTCTACGATTACTGGATCTGTCTACAACTTGAGCGAACAATATAGACTCAAAAAAACCAGTATGGTCAGCCGTTTTCAACTCACTGGACAAAGCAATTCTCTGCTCCTCAACTGGTGGGTTCATTTGACTTTATTGAAAGGGGACAAGGCTTCAAGGAGCTTTAGACCAATCGCAGTGCAGACGAGTGACAAAATTTATAGCGCGCACTGCCTGAAGTTCTAGGAATATTCTCCCATTATTTCACTAACTCACACGCTTGTAGCTCGGAAAAAATATACAAAACAGTATTATGACCAAAATGCAGCAGAATATGCTGCTGTGTTATGTGAAGGAAAATCTCGTTTTTAAGGGGAAAATTAATGCAGGAATTTAGGGTAAGAAATAAAGAGAAATGTGGGACACTGTGAAAGGAACGGTAAATAGATGAGAGTAAATGAGTTAAGCTTTCTTAAAATTATTAGAAATAAACAATTTCAATCATTTAAATTTATAATATGATTAATTTGCATTGCAATCTAATAGCAAATTAAGTTTTTCCCACCATGCTTACATTAAAACTGTGTTTTCAAGCAATTTATTTTACAGTTAATATTAGAAAAGTATTTCTTTATGTTAGAAATTAGAAAGAAAATATTTCTTTCTTAATGTTTCTTCTTTTCTTTTATTTTCTGTTTCTATGAAAATTATTTCCTTCAGGAAAAGAAATAAAATTCATTTGTTGTTACAGTATGGCCGATTGCTGCTGCATTCAGTTATCACACATGCATCAAAATGTTTTATTTTAAATAACTGACACTGTAATTAACATGAAAAAAAAATAATTTTCAATATAAAAATATATAACAAAAATTATAATAATCTATTCTGTACATGTATTCGTATTGCACCATATATACATATATTAGTAATACTATTTTTTAATATTACATTGCTGTTATTTTACATATATATATATATAAGAACTGCTTATTTTAAATATTCTTCCTTCTCAAAAGATTTTATTCTGGGAAAACAATTAAAATATAGTAATATTATTTTCACAACGGAAGTACTAAAGTAAAAATAATCAATGCAGGTCTGCAGTTGAAGAAGTCCTTGTCAAACCAGCGTTTTAACACTTTGACACATTAAATAGAAAACTGTAATAATAATCAATATCTCTTTTACAATATAAAAATGAGAACTTTGCTATAAACAGTTAATTATTTTTTAGTCCAAAGGGGCTTTGTCCCTGAAGAACTATTCTTTTTGTTTTGCGATTTTGTGTCGATTCACTGCAAACAGCGAATCACTTTTTAAACTGTTGCCACAAAGCATTATCACCATGTGATATATTTAAAGAAATTAAATAATGAAAAATCTGCAAAATATATGTACATGTAAATACATATGTATATGTAAATATATGTATATTTCTCGCATTACGATAAAACAACGGTACAAAGACCAATCAAATTTTGAATGACGTAATCCTCATATGAATATGGGCATGTGGAAGACCAAATTTGAAATATGTTTTATTATCGAATTTCTATTTTGTAAAACTTTAACGAATTTTTGATTAACAAACTCAAGGATTTCAAAGCGAGCACTGGCAACGTTGTACAGAAAAAACTTTTTTATCTCCAGCGCGCGAGTCTCTGTATCGGAAATTCTAAAGTTATGCTCATTTCAAAACTATTTTGCTAATACTGCTGTTGAATCTGAAGGCCTTCAGATTTTATATTATGCCCAAAGGGGCATTTTTTAACATTTTGCGTGTTCCTTTTATTTATTAAATATCGTTTTTCGCACTTAAAACATAAAATTCAATTCAACAGTAATATCATATAATTTAAAAAGAGCATATCTTTAGAATTTCCGATACACAGTCTCGCACGCTAGAGATGAAAAATGCTTTTTTCCACTTTTCCCCCCATAGAGAGTTGCCATTGCTCGCTTTGAAATCGTTGAGTTTCTTAATCAAACACTCATAAATGCTTTACAAACTATGAAATAGATAATAAAACAAATTCCCAGTTCCAAATTTGGGCTTCCAGATGCCTATATTAGGGTGGAGGATTACGTTATCCAAAATTTGATGGCTTTAGGTACCATTGTTTTATCACAGTGTGAGAAACATTCATACATTTATGCAGATTCTCCATCATTTAATTTCTTTAAATATAATGCAGTGCGATAATATTTGGTGGGAACTATTTGAAAAGTGAAACACTATTTATTGCAAAACGCCACAAAATGGCAACACGGAATTAATAGCCCTTCTGGGCTAAATATTAATTTGAAAGATATCATACTAATAGTAGTACTATTATTGAAAAAATATTATATGAAAATTATATAATATTACTTAAATATTATATATATATTTCATTTTTATTTTTCAGTAGTGTGAATTTCGCGTAATAATGAACGACACTCCTTACTGTGTTCACAGTATTGTTCGTAAGGCATTCTACTGTTATATTTTAAAATAAACTTAATTCTTGCTGCACATAAATTGAGTAGACGCTTCTTGGATGTCTATATTTTTATTAACTGAAGAAGGATTATGTGGTAGATAAATACTTATTATCTTCTACATTTTTAAACTATACAATTACAATATATATCTATAATTTCAGGAAAAGTATAAATAACCTTTCTTTCAGTAGAAATTGCATTCTTTTTTTCTGAATGTGGCTCCAAGTACCCTCTCAGCTCATCGTAAATTAAAATAACTATAAATTTTGGCAATCTGAAATATGCAATCAAAACATCTTCTGGCAAAGCAAAACCATCAACATATTTTCTATAAATTCGCTGCCGATTCAGAGATTTAGGCCTGTATTCTTCATTTATATACGAAAAAATTAGTGGCGAAAATACGTACAAAGCCATTGCCTGCTTAGAATGTCAAGTGGACAACTCTGACTGACGACGGGGCAACACTGACTGACGATGACAACTACCATACTCAGAGAATATGAGATGTCGGGCAGACCTGTTTTTAACTAGCAGTGACATCTGGCAGCCCACAAACTGCTATCGACTCTCGGAGCGTAGAATAGGCATTCAGGAGAGTTGACAGCTGTGCATTCCGATGAAATATATTTTTAGGATGGGATTAAAATATGTTAAAACAACATAGATCGATTTAAAAATAAGCTCTACACTTTCATTCAAATAAATAAAAATGAGTAATTCTTTCTTATTATCCTCCAAAATTATATGTCAGTCAGATAATCAAATGTGAATTTCAAATTTAAATGCAATAAAATAATACATTTTGATATTACCAGTTTCTTGTTCTTTTGAAGATGATTTGGCATCCCTGCTTTGTAAAATAGGTTTACTATATCGGGCTGTGAATTGTTTTTCTGTTCCCAAGAAGCCAGGCATTAAAAAGTCAAAAAGTGACCATAATTCCAAGACATTATTTTGAATAGGTGTGCCAGATAAAATCAAGCGATGATTTGCAGATAACTGCTTGATTGCCTGAGCCAACTGCCAAAAGAGAGAAAAGAGCGAACACTATATAAAATAATTTAAGAAGGCAATGAATGTGAACTTAAATTCAAAGTAACAACTTATTTCTAAATCACTAAAAGCAAGAAATAAATATGAGCCACTTCTCCATTTGTTCCAAGACAGACTCGATGATTTGAAAAGTATCACCAGTAGCTTTGAACTACCTTTAAATTCTAGTACAATATATAATATATATATATATACACATAGTTTACACATTTATTTTGGTATTTAAGATGGCTGTTGGTCTTTTTATATTGCTTGATTCATTAAATCTTTCAAAACTGCTGAGTCTGTCTTGGGAGAAACAGTATAAATGGTTAACAGATGATTAATTTTCTATCATGAAAATAAACATTAGATGTTTATTAGTTTATTTACAGCTGATCCTAATGTAATAAGCGATGGTAAAACTATTGGTGAATTGGATTTTCTAGAGGCAGTTAAAAATGCTTCAGTTCTAGTTAAGAATCCCTATTTCAATCCATCTTTACCTTCAACTTTTAAGGAAATTATTTTTTAGTTGTTTTAATTTCCATCAATACTTTGTGCCAGTAACTTGATTTCTTTCCTCTCATTGTTAAGGTTTCAACATAAGCTTTTCTTTCGTCATTTGCACCTCTGCAGCTGAAGAAGAACTATCTATATTTAAACCTTCAAAAATAGTCCTGCAAATTCATGAGTACAGCGCTGATTCTTGTTCCCTTAACATCTCCAATCAGGGCTGGATAAAGGGCGATTGGCCCCTAAATTTGATAGGGCCCCACATCACCATCAAAATTTACAGCAAATTGCTTTTGATGATAATAGAAAAATTATGAATTATTCAAATAATTAAAAATATATTTATTTTAAGTTCGCATTGCTGGATGAGATTTATTGTTGTGTGTATTATTATATAATATATACTTTATAATATAGAAAACTGATACAGTCAAAAGTCGTTAATTCGGACATCCATAATCCGGAATGATCTATAATCCGGACCTCAAAGCTACAAACTTTCTGCGCATGCGTCGCCTTGACGCATGCACGTAAGACCTTTATCGCTGCGAATTTGCGTGTGCAAAATACGTTTACGAATGCGCGTTTAATAACGGATATAACGGACGGGATAAGCTAAGCTAAAATTATCTAATTATCTATTTCAGTTAATGTTGCAGATTGCGTTGTTCCTTAATCTTCGAATTGGATCCGGATTATTATTTTTTGCAGACTGTTAGAGCAATTTTATAAAAGTAAGCTTGAACTTTCGTTTATGTCAAATAGAATTTCCGATATATATTTACTAATATGTAAAGGATATACAAAGCGAAAGTATCTTTCGGAGTCCATTAAACAAAAAGTGGAATTGCTGCAAAAAATGGATAAAGGCATATCCTTTGGTTATCTAAACTTTAACATTTGTTTATCTAAACTTTGTTTATCTTTAACGCTGCGGTGGCGTGCAATGAATTGGTAGTAGATCTGTCAGCACTATCCTTATCTTAAGGGCAGATGTTTTTATTTTATTTGGCTTATAATTCCTTACTCAATGTAGTATTTCATCTCGATGTACTCCGTCTTTGATATGATTTAAATCAAATGCCTCGTCATTATAATTCGCTTCCGATAGCGAAGAAAGTGACAGAGGTTATTGAAAACGAAAAAATTTCGATTGACAAATTAGTCGGTATTTTCGACACGGCAATTATATTACTTGAACAGCGGAACTTTGTAACTGAACAAGAAATTATGTCTGTTTATAGAATTAAAGAGAATGTTGTATTATCACATAAAAAACGAAGCAACTTAAACAACTTACATTGAAAGAAATGTTTAATAAAGTAAACAAATAAATATTAAGTTTTTTTTTTTGTAAATTTTGATACCCTTTAGATCATAATTGTTCTTTATTACGTAAATTACGGTTTCATATTTTTAATTTTATAATTTCTGCATGCCATTTTACCAGATTTAAACTGATGATCTATAATTCGAAAAAATCGAAATTCGGAATCGCCGAAGTCCCGACGAGTCCGGATTAACGACTTTTGAACGTACCCATAAAAGTTCATGTCAAATGTATTGAATTTAATCAGGATAGTCCTATACTAGAGAGATTTTGCACTACGCACGTGAACTACTTTACGTATGTAAACTACTATATAGGTATATGCACGCGCAACTAATTGCACAACCGTACCAGCCAGTGGTGGATGTATAGCTAGTATCAAATGCCAATTGTTTCTTGCATTTGCAGTTCGCTTTTCTTCTAATCGTTACAATTATTACAGTTGTACTTTGTGATAAATAGTTTAGCAATTACGTCAAAGTGAAGACGCAAGGAAATTAGATTTTCAAACAATTTTAGAAGAATTTACAGAACAAAAACTTAGAAATATGTAAATTCACATATTCATATTCAGTGATCTAAATTTATATTCAATAAATGTTTATGTATTTTGAACATTTTTATTTTTTAAATTTATGTAGAAGTTTACTTGTCTGATGATCCATGATATATATATATACTGAATTTGAATTTTATTTAAATATTTAATATATAGAGGGCCCTGCACCTATTCGATCCAGGCCTGCCTCCAATAATCATTATTCAGTATGTTATTTTAACTAAGATTTAATATAAATAATTCAAGAGCTAAAGGAAATGAATATGATAAGGTAATTTAATGAAATGTATAATATACCTTTGTTTTACCATTCTTAATTATGTGGCCTTCATCAAGAATGCAATAATTCCAATGGATGGATCCAAAAAATTCAATGTCATTTCGCACTATGTCATATGAAGCAATAACCAAGTTGTGTTTTTTGGCTTTAGATCTTAGCCTAAAAAAGAAATATTATTTAGAAAACCATACTCCTCCTCACAGTACATTAATTTAGCCGAAGTCAGAGGAATTATGAAAACAGATGAAGAAAAAATTTTTTGTACATAGCTTGATTATCTTTTTGTAAGGTCAACCAACTGATAAAAGTGTTGCTTAACAATGATGATTCTGCATCTCTGAATGCAAATTTTAAATTACAACTTGTATGTGTGTGTGCATAGAATGCATGTATCTATGACATCACAGAAAACTGAATGTGAGAGTGAATTCAATAACAAAGAATCTTTGGATTTAGTACAATAATAACACACATCCTCTTATTTTAGAATACATGGTTCGAAAGTGAAACACTAGGCTGTCTGTGATTTTTAAACAGCAAATTCCCTCCCAAATGTCCCCTACTTTGATTTAAATGATTTTCTCCCACATCATTTGAGACTATAATACATGTCATCCTTTATCTAAACTCACTGACAACCTGCACTAAATGGAAGTGGGAAAATTAATTTAGGGGCTTGAATCTCTTCAGTAACAGGCATTACCTTACTTAAGAGTAGTTTTTAATCCACAATAGTACATAATTTAATTACACTTAATTCAGAATATTATTAAATAATCCATTAAAAGCAAATTGCTCAATTGTAAAAATTAATTTCCATTTTGCTATTGGTAGTGCTATTTAGCAATTTTCATCACACTATTTTCAGTGCAAATGAATTCCTTATTGTTGCACCAGAAAGTACTATAATGTTTTATGTATACTTTTTATGTACTGTTACTGATTAATATTATTATATTAATTAGTATTATTATTATTTTCATATTTTTTTAAATTTTTTCTCTAATGAAAATAGTATAAACTATGACAACTGCCTTTTTGGGGAAGGGGGATGTAGAAGGGTAGAAGGGAAAGTAGCATAAATAGTTAAAACTAAACGAATTTGCTTCTAGTTCCTTTTGGATTAACATTTGCAATTATTTATTCCTAATACATAACAGAGGTCAAGTTAAGACACAATAACACGCCGAACAAATACTAATTCAGAAGTCAAACAACAAAAATCAGCGTTATATTTTCAAAATTTTCACAGGACTAGTTTCGATGGTTTTACCGAACCACCATCCTCAGCTGTAAAACCGCAAAATGGAAAAGATAGGAAATAATGATTAGATAAGATAAGAAAGTCTGGACAAGAATAAGCAAGTGGCGCCATGTGTTGATGAAACCAGAACTAAACATAATTTCTTTAAGGCCGAAGGCAAGATGATTGGAATTAGGATCGTAACTAGAACAGAAGATTTTTTTGAATTGAAAATGCCTCTAGAAAATCCAGTTCTTCAATGGAAGATATTTTTTGAATAATTTTGGCAGCAGAAAAATTAAAGTGTGATTTTCAACTACCAAAGTTGAGCACAGCAGACTTCTGTGTTTCCTTTTTTCTAACATCTGCCTCGTGTTCCTTGACGCAAATTTTAAGGCTCTCTTAGTTTGGCCAATGTAAATTAAACCACACTGGCAAGGATCTTATAAATACCAGGAATTCATATCCGGAATGGGGTCCTTGAGTATGGAACTCGGAATTTTATTGATGGGAGAATAAACAACCCAAAAGTTAAATTTCTGCAAATATGTGCAACTTTATACTAATTGATGGAAAGAGGGAATGACAAGAGAATTTTTATAATCTCCTAAAACAAAGTGTGCCTTTAGTGTGTTGAGATGAGAATTTTTTACTGCTTGATTAATAATGTTGGGTGGAAAGCCCCTGTCAATAGCATTGCTTTAAATAATTTAGTTCTTCATCAAGGATAGTTTGGAAGAGCAAACTTGAAGAGCACAGAAAACATAGGAATAAAATGAAGCTAACTTTTGTTTAGTCGGATGACATGATTTAAAGTGTGGTGGAAGGTTTTACAGCTGAGGATGGTGGTTCGGTAAAACCATCGAAACTAGTCCTGTGAAAATTTTGAAAACATAACGCTGATTTTTGTTTTTTGAATTCTAAATTAGAGGTCAAGTTATTTGAATAAGGTAAAAAAGCATGCAAAGGCTATCTGCCTAAGGCGTAGGGAATTTTGTGGAGGAAAGAAGAAACTTCCTAAGAAAAACTCAGTTCTATTCATATTATGCATATGGAAATCCACAAAAACAACTCGTGCAGCCAGCCCATTTACCTGGGTTCAAACCCATAATAAACTAGTATTCAGTAGCCTTTAACTGCTTGGTCACTGGTGGAGATACATTATTTTTATCCAAACTTTACTATTAAATTAGAATATAAAATAAGGCTGGAATTGCATGATTTAAACTATATGCATACACTGTAAGATATATATTAGTCATATTACAGTTTCGCCACAAAAGACAGAATTGCTATTTACCTCATCCTTTCAATTGGTGGGCCAGTATAATGAATAGGATTAAGATAAAGAGAACTAACAAACTTTTCCACTTCATACATCCAATGACCAGTCAGAGTTGGTGGACAGACTACTAAAGATGGAAGAGGTTTGCAGTCTGGTCTTTTTGTCTCCTACATAAGAAAAACAAGCATAAAAAGAGGACCTCATTTTCCACAATAAATTATATGCATTATATAAAAATTGAAGAACTGCATTTCTGAATCCTTTATACCACACAAATATTTCTATCTTAAGCACTTAAAAATAACAACACATATTTGATAATACCATAATAAAGTATATATATGATATTCCAAAAATATTTATAGAGCATTGCACCATTTTTTACTTAATTCTTCCTCAAAAGAAATATTAATATTAATAATCATTATTCAAAGGAATATTAATACTAATAATCACCAATAAGTATTAGCCAATCCTTGCTTATGCATCACAGGAGGTATGATTCCCATGAATGTTTGGCAACCTTAATACTCTTATATTCCTTTAGAAAGATATTTTTTATTCCTGCATTTTTTCCCCTCTTCTTGTTACTGCTTTTCTCTTTCCTTTTCCTAAGGGAAAGTAGGGATGATTTTTTTTTTTAATTTTAAAGTCAACTTTAGATCAAGCACACCAAGTGCATATCTGCATTGTACCATTTCCCCCCCTCTAATATTTTTTTTTTTTTTCCAGAGAAAGTTCTCACAGCAAGGCTTGTTTGTCACATGTTAATTTTTACTACATTTTACATTAAATGGTTACTGATCTATTAAGAAAAGAAGCAGAAAGAAGACATTACTTCCAAATATATGGTTGCCCCAATTTCCATGCAAAGAAACTGTACAAAATGAAAGACATATCATGAAAATGTAATATTAATGAAAGCTGATAAAGTACACATGATACAATAAAAATTGAGAATTTGTTCAAGAGAGATCACCCGCTTTATTTAACAGAAGTCAGGAAAAGTTTTGTAGAATAACATTCTGAGAAAACTGGCAGACAGTACCTTCCAGAAATCAAGAAACCTATTTCATCAGTCTACTGATGTTGAAATTATGTACCATTTCCAAAAAGCATCAATAGATTGCTAGCAGTATATCAGTCCAATGGGTCTCAGCTATTACACAAGTACCAAAATATTTATTTAGATATAACACATTGTGTTCTACTCTGTACACTTTACCATACTATGCAATTACCATGACACCTGAGGGATTTATTTACAAGTAAGACAAGTTTTCTATGCTCCATCCTCCAAGTCTTAATGACATACTGGTAATACAAAATTTATGTCTATTAATACTCTTCTCGAGAAATGAAAAGTCAGTCATTCAATACTAGATCTGAATCATACAAAAGAAGGTTCAAAGTCTTCCATTAAAAATATTCCAAAAATTCTCAAATCAAAATGGCCAAGTATAAATGAGTATTACTAATCATAAGCAACATACCTCATGTCAGCAGCTCAGGATATTGGCAGTTCATAAACCCTCCAATACTATACCCCATATAGCTGCATTTAAAAATTAGCACATCATAACACTGTACTATTTTTTTTAAGAAACAGACAAAGAACACATTTTTCTGCTTTTATATATTAGCCATCACTTCACTAGCAGACAGCAACATGTTCACGGTTTTGGATCATAAGTAATTAAGATGATGCCACTCAATGCTTACAAATTTTAATTAAGTAAATATTGAATATGATTCAATATTCCATTCATACTACGAAAATCAATCAGTGATAAAATAATAAAGAATATTTTTGCTGCAAGCAGATTTGTCAAGAAAGAGAAATTTTTCCTAAGAAATCTACAAAAATAAACTCCATATCTCAATGACAAACACAGATATTTATGCACGGGTGGCTAAGTAGCAAAAATGTACTTAATTCTGTTGAACAAAATGAAACAGTTCAATGAGCATTCAGTACTTGAGATGGTAACCTCTTAAAAAAAAAAAAAAAAAAAAAAAAAAAAAAAGTCAAGTGCAGCTGTTTTTGAAATTTAACTTATCATTATCATTCTATTAATATTCCAATATTTTCTTTCATAAATTGTATATCAATAATCTTTTAAATTTTAATTTTGCTTAATTTTAATGTAACTCAATTACATTAAATTATTTTACTTTTAATTTTGTATGGTTCTGAAAATTCTTAGCTTCTCCCCTTACAAAGTCATACTTAGCTCTGAAATATATTCACTGCACTATCAAACCTGTCAGCATCTCCTTGAAAGTCATTTGACATAGATTGCACTTCATGTATTAAGAAATGCACCATTATTAAAAATGCATATGGAATAAATACTACATCTTATGGTAGCTTAATAAATTTCCTGATATAACACTACTTGACCCCAGGAACTCAACTGTAACATGCTCACCTGAGACATCAGATCCTTCACAGTCACAGTTCCAATATTGCATGTCCTCAAGCAGCAACTAGACAGCTGCATACTTTGAAGTGATAAAGAAGTCAGAAAATGGTGGTGTAAAGGCTGTATGCCTTGGAGCTTACATTTTATGAGATGGGCAAAAACTTGTTCTTCACTTAAACAAATGCATTCACCGTCGAAACTGTGAGGAAAAGTATTTTCTCACACGAAAAAGAGTTTAAAAAGTACTTTGATTTAATTAAATTTTGCTCTTGAAGTGATAAGCTTCATAAATTCACTTTTGAGACTATCTTGCAACACTGACATGATTAAGGGAAAACTAAAGCTATAAATTTATCTGAATATCGCTGATATTTTAATACATACATTTAAAAATATACAACTAAAACAACTTTTAAACATAATATCACAAATTTAAATTATCAGCTGAGAATAGTTTATGGAAATGCTGGTCATATTTCATTTGTGTGAATAAAATGATAATGTGCATAAAGACATACAAATTAAAATATTTAATAACAATAACTAACTACTTATTCCACATTCATTAATGAATTCATTGTCAGAAAAACTGCAAATTCAAGATATCCAACAGTTACAAGTACCGATTCAGCCCCTTCCAAGTCACCAAATGTAGTAAAATGTTGCTTATATGTTTTTTATATATTTTCCACAGTTATATGTAAATTAAGAATTTAACAGAATACTTCAATTGAAAATAAAAGTGAATAACTTCAGTTATATATATTTTGGCATAGCAAAAAAGACCTACAAGATTAGCTATTTTACTTGATAAAAGTTTTCAGTCTCTTGTTCCTTGGAAAAGAAAATTACCACATAAACGCTGTTCAGTACCATGTTACACATTTGATATATCTTTGAAATGCATAGGACATGTTAGGGGAATTATTTTTGAACTCTTAACATAGTAATTTACACTCTTCAAGTCAATATTTGAATACTTTGAGATGCTAAACCTATGAAGTTTAAAGAATTCCGTTACTACAGATCACTTAAAAAGTAAATTGCTGTACAGATATCATGTACAAAAGGAGTACATTTATTTATTTTTCATGATTAGATAAATACTAAGAAATTTATTTACACATAAGGTAAAAAGTGTGTATAATAAACTAAAATTAAAGTTTATCATGATTATATTTAATAATGAATAATATAATGGAATACTAACATTATTTCTCTATGTTATAGATTAATGTTAAATATTAGCCAAGTCTAATTTTCATATTTACTTTGTTAAGGTTACATACATAATTTCACTCAAATAAAAGGAAAAGTATACATATAAGCAACATGAAAAGTATAAAAACATTTAAAATGTTTTACTTCACAATTAAAAAACTGAAATTCATACTTACATTATATGTTTGTTCCCTTAAAAAGTGATCTCCAGCTAATATACAGATTGATTGAAGAGTTTTGCCCAGACCCATGTCATCACATAATATACCATGGAGTTTATATTTATTTAGGAAAGCAAGCCAGTTAACTCCTTCCTAAATATATAAAATTAATTAGATCTTATTGTACTAAAAATTACTATTGAGAAATTTAATATAAATTTATTTCAAACATCCAATGATATCAACAGCATGGTTATAATCCTCAATTACTAGAATAAGGAAATGATATGGGCATAATGCATTTTTAAGAATTTTTCTGGAAATTATATCCTGCAGATTAGTTTATAATAGTCAATACATATGCGAGGCGAGACAGAAAAGTAAGGTGAGGTGACTAGACGGTTCCTCGCACAGCAAATGGCTTCGGAGTTATTTCATCCTCTTTATTCCCCTGATCTTGCACCAGCAGACTTTTCCTCTTTCCACGACTGAAATTGGCACTAAAGGAACACCAATTTTCAAGCATCTCAGATATTCAGGCTTACCAAGGAACTTAATAAAGTCTCAAAGGAGGACTTTTTCAAAAGCTTCAAGAACTTGTATGCATGTTGTCAGAAGTGTATTCAGAGTTCGTACACATTTCTGCACACGGAAATTAAGGACTTTTAAGGACCATTAATGAAAATATTAAGGACCTATGAGCAAATGGGAACTAAATAAATTCAATTAAAAATATTATCTATGCCTTATTTTCACTTTTGTAATACCATCCTAAAAATAAAATAGATGCCTAATTAGTATGTATTATTACTAAACATGAATTAATTAACATAATTATTAATAAGTTTGAGAATAAAATAAACTTAATGCAATTTATTAAGTAGCATTAAATATTTTACACTTATAATAGTTGATCATATTTGAAAGAACATAAGTGACATTTGCGTTTTACTAACAGTTAGCTTTATGTTGATTTTTTTTTTTTTTTTTTATGTCTCATTTTGTCTCACACTTGGCCAGTCTAGAGGCTTAGTAAATAGCAGGTAGATTTTATGTCAAACAGCATACGTTAAAATGAGAAGTAAGATCATAATCAGCATGCTTCATAACAAAAGACTGGATGTTGTCACCGCTGCTACTTGTCTAGAGAGAGACCTGCTGATTAGAACAAACCTGAAAGGCCTGATGTAGGGATGGTTGGCAAGTGTTGAAAGTTAGTCAGGTTCTGTTTGATGCAGTTAGTGTCATAGCTTCATGTAGAATTTCAAGGGTTGTAACCCAGTTAATATACTTTAAGGTTTCAATAAGCCATTAAAGCAGCAGAGGTGATAAGATATTTTGTATTATTTTAAGTCTCAGTAGATACAAAGCATAAGTTTTACTTGAATTTTTACATTTTTGTATTTTATCTTGTGACCACAGTGAGAATTAATGAAACAATATAACTCCTTTTAATATGTAGAGATACATTTTAAGGGTAAGCAGTTAGTTTTAAATAACTAAATTAGGTAGTTTAATAACCTTAGTCATTATGGATTTACATGACCACTATTAAATTTTATTTTTTAACAATATTTGTTAAAAAAGCTCTATTAAAATCAAAATCTAATAACATTTCACGGTTTAAAATACATGTAATTTATGAAATTGGTTCTTAAATGATATTAAGATAATAACACATTAAAAGCTACAAAATATTTATGTTTTGTAGCAACAACATTCAACAAAATATTTATCCGTCATTTTAATTTGAAGCCTTCCCAGACATTTTGGTTAGTTTATATCAATGTCCTTCTCTTTAAGCATCTTTTCTAATAATTAGAGATTTGTCTTAATATGCAAACCAATGCTTTCGCTAGTTTCTGCGTGCTTTATCTCCTAGCTTGCCAACCTCTCCACAATGTACATATGAGGGTTTACTTGACCTGGTAAAAGTTAAATAGTTCAAATGCCCGACAGACTTGAAGCGTATTATTGCTACGTCTGAAAGTAACTACAATATCAGATAAAGGTTTAAACAAGCCTCTTTATTTAAAAGGAACTTAGAACATAAAGGCATGTTCTGATGCTAACAAAATCAATTACAGCTAACGTTGACGTAATTAAACAAGAACAGTCAAATTCAAATGAAAGCCCACCAGCAGAGCGGTAAAGTCGCTGAACACTGGTAGTTCGGTCCGAGGTTCGAATTCCGCGAAAGGGCTGGCTGCATTGGTGTTTTCGTGGTTTTCCCCATGTGTAACGTGTACAAGAGCCAGTTTTCCTTAGAAACCTGAAAGGCCTCGAGGCATCTCTCCCCTTAGGCAGACAGCCCTAGTGTGCTTTGCCATAATTAAATACACCAAACTAGTGGTCAAAGATTATACAATTTAATTTAAATTTAATCTGGCTCAGTAACTCTATCATATGAAGAAATAGAAATCGGAAATTATAGTAAAGGTTGAAATCATAAACAATTGGGTAATTTACATAATAATAACTGCACATATCTTTGAAGAATAATTTTCTTTATATATTCAGTTTCTTTCTTCAACACGTTTCCTTTTCATTTTAGAATTTTTGGATTTAATTAAGGATTTCTGTTATTCTAAAAAATACTAAATGCATTAAGAAAATACAGAAAAAGCGGCTAATTTTATTTCTTTAGTAATATGAACATTCAGAAGAAATATGAAATACATATGTTAAAGGCCGGTTACTGAGCTGATGTGGCAGAATTTTCAGAATTTAGTGACACGCCAAACAACAAAATCTAGAAATGGCAAAATTTTAGAATTTAGAGCAGGCATTGTAAGCAGAATTTAGGATCCACAGAGATTGCATCAGATGGGAAAATGCCTAGTGCCAGCTATGTGTATGATGCATTAAGACATATTAGATGAATCTTTTAAATTGTAAGTTTTCAATTTCTTTATTAGTAAAAAAAATCCCTTCCTATAATGCCTGCCCATGTGATAAGATTAGAAGCATTTTTGATATTTTCCATGCTTGTGTCTAGTGAAAATGTAAGAGAAAATAAAGGGAAGACATAAACATGTTAAGGTTCTAGTATCAGAAGTAAAACATTCAAATATTATGTTTTCATTGTTCTTCCAGACGTTCTCAGTGAGAAATTCATTGCAAACTTTCTGTAAAATATACCCATTACGTGTTGATACCACGGAGACATTTTTCATTTTGTCACATATTTCTCGAATCTTCTAGAATCGTGTGTCTATAAATTTTGCCTTCAAATCCTTCTAAACTTTCCAAGCTGCAATGTCTAAAACCCTAAAGAAAAATTATTCCTACCATTTCTGCAACAGCAAAAAGCCAGAAATCTTTTGGAAAAGAAAAGAGAGGGAAAAAGTGTAAAATTAATTTTATAGAGAAAACTGATGCACATTTCGAGAATTCTGGATAGTTTGAGATAATTACACGGGAAAAACTCTTACTACAAGAAAATTAAAAAGAAGATATTTTTAATTAATTATATAGCTATATATATTATATATTAAAAATGACTTTCGAAATGCTTATGTTTCACTTCTTGCTTAGAAACTCGAGTATCCCATCATTTATGTTAGAAACAAATTATGACTCATGAACCCATTCAAAAGATAACCATATATACGTCAGTGAATCGCCAAAAATATTCCTCCAAAATGCTAATTCACACTCAAAATTGCAGTCGTAAAAACTGACAGAAATTTCAGATGATTAAAATTAAGGACCTTCTGCTGATTTTGGCCAAAATTAAGGACTTTTAAGGATCAAAATTCGATTCCAAAAAATCTAAGGACTTTTAAGGACTCTTAAGGACCGTACAAACCCTGTGTATTGTAGACGGCGGGAATTGCTTTGAAGGGCAGTGATGTACTTATATGTAAATATATAATACAGTTATTATTATGACATCAGTCCCCCTACTTTTCGATCTCACCTTGTTTATGTGTACCATAGAATACTGGAAACTCAACCTAATGGGGACTGAGAGGGTAATGATGAGTTACCATTGATAAAAACGTTGCATTTAACACATAGGAGTGCTTGTGCAGCCTGTTGTTTACATAGATGTGTTACGATTTGTGTTTTATTATGAAATATTATAAGTTGTCTGTTTGCATACACAACTCTTAACATTTTCAAATTATTACTCTAAATGAAAGTTAAAGCACAAATACCAGACACAGAAAAATACAACATAACCTAAAGTAATTGTCAAAGTTAAACAAAAAAAAACTTATATAACAAAACTGAAGAAATGACTGGTTAGCTCTTTAAAGAAGAAGAAAAAAAAAATCTTGTAATGCGAGACTGTCTCACACACTCATTTTGTCTTTGTGCAACTTCCTTACATAGATGACAAAGGAAAAAATTTATCGTAGCAGATGTACCTTGGTCCTCCACGTAATGAAGCATTCTTTCGGTGACCTTTAGTCTTTTGTTATAAGACATAACTTTTCTCTTGTCTTCCTTCTCTCCATCTACTGATTCATCTTTATTTTTATCCTCATGCTTTTTCACTAGTGCAACTATTTTACTATCTCCTAAAAGCTCACTTTTTTTATCCTGCCCCACCCACTCTCCAACACCAACATCACTTTTTCACAACCTAAATTTATCTTCAACAGGTTTCCAATTTTGTGTCACTGCTTTGCTTTCTTGAATGGCCAAGTAACTTTCTCCAAGAATTAACAAGATTGATTCACTCAATTTTATTCCAAGACTCAGATCTACCTCACAATGTTTCAAGCGTCTTCCTTAGTTTTTCAAACATGTTACACTCTTGCTACATGGCTTACATCTCTAGCTCTTCTTTAAAGCTTCCAAAATGGCCTAGTAATTTGAATGATTTTGAAATATTAAAGTCCCACTATAAAGGAGAAATTCTGGCTCTTATGTTTTCGTCTTGTAGCTGTTTCTCATCAAAAGGGCATGAAACATAGTAAAGAATAAGAAGTGCTTTCTTTAGCAGATATTTAGGATTTTAGAAACCAATATTTAAAATTTGGTTCCATTCATTTATATAGTTGACTGATTCCTGTGTTAAAAGGCAAATCACAGGCTATGTCAGACCTATTAGTGCACTTTTTTGTTTTTAAATGCATGGGAAGTCTTCCATTTGCTTATGAGTGCCTGTTGCATTGCAGAATGCCAATAATGTAACTTCCTCCTTATTTCTTTTGTAGCCTGAGGCTGATTTTTATTTACCATGGATGCATGTATTTTTGAAGATAGCATTTGAAAATTAATTCAGATCAAATTTATCACAGATATAAAAATGATCTCCAGATAGACCTCCCTTTTTTATGTGTAAATTTCCTTTGAATTTATTAACATTTTCAAAGTCAGTGCAGAATTTTTCACCACAAACATATAAGTGTTCAATGCCATAGCACTTCATCCAAATTTTGAGCTTGCCATTAAATAGCAGTCATTCAGACTCCCCTTCTTGAAATTCCTTAGGTAATTTAAGTGCCTTCATTCTTATCAATGGGTTCTGAAATGCATGTTACGTTTTCCTTTGCTGCCTAAACCACGAATAAAATGCTTCATTCACATTCTTGTATTCGTTTCTTTTCATATTTTTCCTTCCCTTTAAAACAGTGGCAATAAACAGGTGGGTTGTGGGTACCTGATAGCCTGCAATGCTGTCTTTAGGTACACCCCAGCCACAATCACAATATCACATAAGACAAAAACATTACTATAATCCTAATTTGTGGTAATGGCTACCAAACTGTGTTGTTTCTGGCAAGTTTAAAAATAACACTTTAAATATTTTTTATAGTTTGGTTTATTTAATTATGGCAAAGCACTCAAGGGCTACATACCTCAGGAGAGGGAACCATTCACAGAAGACTTTTTAAAGGAAACTGGCTTGTATGCATGTTACACAAGGAAAAAACCACAAAAATGCCCATGCAGCCGGCCTGCTCAGAGGGATTCGAACCCAGAATGAGCTATTAGTGTTCAGTGACTTTACTGCTAGGTCACTGGTGGGTTTACTTTGCTTGTCGACATGAATGATGAGCCAGGATCATCAAAGAGAAAGGAATCTTACTTCAACCATCATTGGGAAGAAGAGCTATTATTTACAAGCATTGGTGAAAAAACAGTTTGTTCATAATGCAATGCTCCAGTAGTGGTGCCAAAATTATCAAACGTTAAATGTCATCATAAAACCGTTCATAAGGTCTTCAATGGTAACTATCCATTTAGGTCTTTATGTAGACATATGTTCATTAATGCATTCGCATTGAGGTAAAAAAAAATAATTTTTAAGCAGTGTTCAGACTTTCTTTAAACATCATCGATGAGGTTGAAAGACAGAAAAAAGGGAATTTTTTCTTGCATTTCGTCTAAACTTATTGGATTGAATTAAACCTACTTCGCTGACAGCGCATAAACCACAATAGAATAAATGCATTCTTTAAAATTCCCTCTATTTGTTTACCATAGCGACAATCTGGCACTAGGTTCACTTAACAGTATTATATTGCATTCATATTATAACTCAGAATGCACAAAATTTATATCATTTAAAAAATTATCTAATCGTTGCCACATGTTCTATTAAATACTATAATAAAGCTAGAATGATGTATAAAAGAAATTAAGCAAACAAAACAAAAAAGAATTGGTTTTTCACAGACGATTTACACAATCTCTACCCACCGCACAGTAACATGTTTGAGTGTACATGCTTAATAACTTACAACATAAATATGAAAACATACTTAGGTATGCACTAACAGTGAAAGCATTTTTGGGGTCAACAGAGCTCTGTGAACAGGCTTCTTCATAACTTAAAATAATAAAAAACAAGTACAGAAATATGTTGACTCCAGAATGCATGTGAACAACAACATGGTGCTCGCATGCTGTGTTTCAGTATATACATGAAATTTTAATAAGTTGTCAGAGAATATTACTAATTAAATATCCCATTAATGACAAGTTAATAACTTAATGCAGAACTGAATGAATGAAATATTTAACAACTTAACAGTTACATTTTTTACATTAATAACTCATTTGTTAGTATGTACTTTTCTTTATTTTGTAATTTGAAGTAAAATTAGTTCAAAGTTAAATTACATTTGCATTTTATTAGTGGATTTTCTTCAGATTTTTTTATTGTTGTTGTTGCAGGTTTTTAATAAGTTTCATTATTATTTGGAAAAAACAAAGAAACAAACAAAAAACCTCCAGTAAAATCATGCATTTTCATGAAATTGTTATTTTCCAAGCATGAAACACTGGGTGCCCTAGAGGCGCGGCAAAAATTTTAAAAAAATCATGCATTTTCATGAAATTGTTATTTTTCAAGCATGAAACACTGGGTGTCTTGGAGGCATGGCAAAAATTTAAAAGCAGACCTTAAGGCAAAACCAGTTGGACATCACTGGTTTAAACTATCAAAGCCTGATTTTTTTCAAACATTAAGACTGGATTTTGGATTTCTTCTTTTCCACCTTATGAAAACAGTTCATCCACCCAAATCCATGGCAATTTTTTAATATTTTTTGCTTTGCCCAGTCTTTTTAAGGCATCTAGTTTCATTTTCACCGTCACTTTAATTTATTTTCTTTTCATTCAACATTTTCATTTACACAGATAACATAACACTAGTAAAACCCAGTCACAAATTGAAAAATTGTACCCAGAAAGAACTGAAAACTTAGCTTACAATAAGGCACAGTCACAAACCTGCTAATGATTAGCAACAAAAAAGCATGGAATCACAGATTGACAGCGAGCTTATTTTCTTCAGCCACTTTGTTACTGAGACGGAAATGGATGAAATTCACCAAAAGGAACCAAAGCTCTCACCATATTTATTACACAGTTCCAAGAATTAGTGTCACAAAAGGGCAGGGACAAAAAATTCAAAAACAAAATCCTGTAATCTTTAAAGAGAACAGGAAAGTACATCATGCAGACATTCATATGCATAAATATGTACAGTAATTGCAATAATACAGTAACTAAAATGCACCAGTACTGTTTGCACCATATGAACATGTTAAAAATTGTAACACGAATAAACCACCTCCTTATTTCAACGATAATGTTCTGCTTGCCTAGCAGAAATCCTTTAGCAATTTAAAAAAAAAGTGATTGTCAAGTCGTAAGGAATGTCGTGGCACTGAAAGGCAAGTTAGTGGGATTCTACTGCAGAATGCACACACTTTCGTAAGAACTGAAGCTAATTACTGAAGTGCAGTGATTTACTTGAGAAAAATAATAGTGCCTTGTTCTTACTCACCTGCTTCTGTTTCTCTTGAAGAACATTTTAATAATAAGAATATCCAGTCTGTTTAAAATATGTCTCAAATGGCTTCTAAATTGATTAAATGATTCTAATACAAGCAATTTTTAATACTTTTTTTGGGGGGAAGGGGATATATGTACATTTAATGAGTGCAATTATTTCTACACTTCATGTAATTGTATATATGCACACATGTACACAAAGAATTACACACACAAATGTAGTATAAAAAGTTAAAATAATTTTTTTGACTATACGTAGTTTGTTCACTAAACTCAAAAAAGAACAAATTTTTGGAAGAATGATGTAGTTGAAAGTACTAGAATTGGAATCAAATTGTAAACCAGTAATGGAAAAAAACTTCATTTTCTTTTGGAGATTGACTTACAGTATAGTTTGACAATATATGGGAAAAAATACAATAGTTTAGACAAATAAACAAATAAAATAAACAATGGCCCAATAATTTACTTGATAAGTGATGGTTAGGAATGGCTGAAAGCTATCAGTAATTTAGCCATCTTATCACTGATAGCATTGTCTAGAGTGTGTCACAAGAGACAATAAATATTATATCCGAGGAGGAGGAAGAGAGACAACTACAAACATCCATACCTTCTGGGCCCAATCAAAGGGCAGTCAGCACCTTTGACCATCATATTAAACATGGCAGCAACAATGCAATTTACAAGCAAAATGACAAAGGTTTCTAAAAAATTACAGATTTATTATAAAATTATCAATATTCAACTAATTATGTGTATATTAAAAAAAAAGAAGGGGGAGCATTAAACTAGCATGTAGTGTGTCAATTTAAGATCTACACAGAGCATAATTTCAAGGGGGCATGAAAGCTAAGAAGCTGAAGAAACTATTATTTGTATTTACAAATAATTACTATAAATAATCACCTGTTGATAAGACCGAAGTTCAGCATTCACAGGTACTGGAATGATGAATGGTTCGACCTTCTTAGGATTCATAAGTCGTTCAAGAAAAAGTCTTTCTTGCTCTTTTTTCTCCAGCAATTCGGGATTCAATAGTGGTGGACTTTTTACCCCTCCCTAAAAGAAATTTACAACCATAATTTTTACTGCATCACAATTATAAATATATATGAAGTACAAGTTGTGAAAATAACTAAAAGAAAATCTTTCTTTCTATATTTTCACACTGGTAAGGGAGAAAAAATGTCTGAAGTCAAATCATGAACCTTTTTCTTATACATAATTAAAAAGATTTAGTCATTTCAGAAAAAGATTATCTCACTAAAAATAAGAATTTATCGCTATATATTTATTGATTCTAAAATCATTTGTTAAATTTACAATAACAACCCCCCAAAAAAAACTTTCCATTAAACAAATAAATAAGATCTATTGCAGAATAAGAACCAAACATTCCCTTAAGAAAGCCCGTCCACCTCACAAAAAATCAGGAAGTACTTTTCATAAATTTTTTTTGGGGGGGGAATCCTTCTCTTGGTTGATATCAAGTTTACTTCCCCCCCCCAACGGTCATAATCCTCTACTTCTATTATTTGAATTAAATCCAGTTCAAAACTCCTGAAAAATTCAAAAACTTCTCAAAATGAAACATATATCAGTTGCTATACCATTTTTCCAAGTTAAAACTGTATACTAATTACACTGTTTCAAATTTGTTAAATAAATAATCATGCAAGAAATTTATTGCACAAGTTATATATCAATGAACTTCAAAAAAGAATAAAACAGTCTTGAAAATGAATGATAATTTAGTACTTTAAAGTACTAGACTTCAGCCTCCTATCGAAAAATACATTTTGAAGAGATGAAGACAACACAGAAAAATGTCCTCATCATATACTTATTTCAATTTTCTGTACTATGGAGTATAACTTTGCAGAAAAGTTTAGGTATCAGTTTTAAAATACGAACTCTTTGTTTCTTTTGAAACATAAAGCATACTGTTGAAACTTAAAATATTAGATCTCAAATAAACCACTAATTCTAGAAATTATATCTAATTAATAATTAACTAACAATTAAAACAAAATAAATTATCAAAGCCCTTTAATTCTCACATTCAGGATTAAAAAAAAGTTGCAGAGGAGGTATTTAAACTAAGCATACAAACTAAAAGAATACACTTTATCATATCTTTTGATAGTACAGTATAATGCAAACCATGCCACACCAATTCACAAGCAAAAATTAATAATGACTTTAAATATAGCTGATCCCTATGCATTTGGAAAATAGTTTCATGATTATAGTCATGAACAAAAGCAGCAGTTATCAGTAAATTCAAAATGCAGTCTAATGAAACTGTCAAAGAGCCTGATCACTCTGTTTCAATAACTATAAAATGTCTGAGGTTTTCATTTCAAATTATCGAATATGAAAACTAAGACTGTCCATAGTACGGTAAATCTTCCAACTAAAAAAAGAGATAATAGCTGTATGTACACTGATCCATAGAAGCTTAAAATGAATACATATTTCCCTGCATTATTATGAGGAATTAAAATATCAGTAGTTTTAAGAGTACGCTTAACTTATATAAATTATATGCACCTTGAAACAGAATTTTATGATCATCATATGATAAATAGTTTATGCATACAAACATTTTGTCATATCATGATAAAAGTAGGCTATGGCAGCTGCTGATCACATCAAACTGACACTGTAAGCCACTTAACGATTACACTTAGATTTGCAAAAGCCTAGAGTTAATTATTCACAGAAGGCTAGAAAATATAGCAATTTATTTAAGGAATCAAGGTTTTTGATTATATCATACAGTTGGAAGAAATGAGAATGCCAAGAACAACACAAAGCAATGCATCCATCTTGCCATGCTGAAATAATACAGTCAAGTAAATTTCTTGTAACAACTTGCGAAGCATTAACATGAGACGCCTTCGGATCTATCATGCTTGTGAAAGCCTTTGGGTCAAGATGTGTAAACTGCTAATCATTTACTGATACATATAAAACTATGAATGAATGAAATTTCAAAGATTTTCTTTTCTCATAATAAAGGCATCATTCAACAAGACACCACCATACCACATGGTTAAATGATAACCTAATGGTTAGAAGGACATCCAGACAAGTTTACAATAATCAAATACATTTAATCACCGGTATTACCCTAAAACAAAATTAATAAGATGAATTACAAAAAGTTTGAGCCATCTAACACCTGTCGGAAACAAAGGGTACCCTATTACATGCAAATTTGGGCAGCAATACCACATTCTCAATGAGTTACTTATTACCAGCACATCTGGCTACAGTCACTAGAACAAAAGGTGAATCAACACATTATTCAATAGAAATATACCTTTTTAATGCATTCCCTTTTTACTTTCTTTTTTAAATACTAAAATTTATAAAAGACAGAAAACAGAGAAGATAAAATAGAGAAATAACTTACTTCAAGAGGCATAAGCTTTATTAATGAAGCAAAACAATATGTAGCTAAAAGTCTGACTTGTTCGTTTTTATCAGACATTCGACCTAGCATAGGAACAATCAGAAATACAATGTATGGTACTATATCCAAACCTAGTTCATCAATTATACCTAAAATTTATTAAGGATAACAAGCACAAAAACTAAAATCAAAACAATCTTTATTTTGTTATAGACTAAGAACAATGTACAGTTAAAGAATTTATAGATAAGAAAAAACTTGTTGTAACCTTTAAAATAACAGCATATAACATACAATTTAATATGACAGCAAATATGGTACTACTCTGTTATTAGGATCAGGGCCAGATTCAGAAATGTATGTATGTATGTATGAAAGGATGCATGTGTTCATGTATGCATGTATATATGGAAGCACAGATGTATGTATGTGATGCATGTATGAAAGGATGTATGTGTTCATGCATGCACTATATTATATGCTTGTGCCCGCACCCCTACTATGTAGCAATGTGACTTTGGTGTGGGTCAGAGAGAGTCGCTGTTGATGGCATGCCAGAGAGAATGTGACATGGCTATTTAAAAGCTATGAGTTATTTATTTTATAATTGTGAGTTTGGGTTATTGCACGATTAATAAAAGATAGTTACAGTTCACTTAAGTGTTACTATTACTTTCTGACAGAAAACATTTGATCTATGTCAAGTGAGGAAATAACCGGAGTCAACAGCATTCTTCACTTTTGATTTGGCACAAATTCATTAGATTTAGTTGAGTGTTTCATTTTATAAACTTATGACAAGCGTAAAAGAACTTTTGGTGAAAAAGAGACCATAGTAGTGAAAACCAAACTGACTAAGCAGCTGAAAAAGAAATTTGCAGATCCTAGTTGTTCCGAAACCATCGATTTAATTGAAGTAAAGCTTAAAACGTTTAGAATCAGAATCTAAAGCTATTTTCGAAACCATTTATAATGTTTGAGATGAAAAAGATATTGATACTTATGCTGGTGAACTTGAAGAAGTTATTGAAGTAACTGGCAATATGAAATCTGAATTAAGAAAACCATCTAATTCAAAAAATTTAGTTGTCACTTCAGATCAGTCTTTAAATGCAAAACTGCCAAAAATATCCTTACCTATTTTCCGTGGCAACTTACATGATGTGTTATCATTTTGAGACATTTTACAAAGCCAGTATTCATCAAAACCCAAACTTATCAAGCAAGGTAAAATTTCACTACTTAAAATCTTTAAAAGGAGATACTTTTCCAAATTGATCATTGTTACAGGAACGTTACTCAAATGAAACAGCACAAGTGAATCAGTTTGAGCTTTAGAAATATTAGAACCAAAAGTAGATGGACTTACATCTATAACTTTTTGTATATGCATTGAGTAAAAAGTTAGATGCTAACATGAAACTTTGGTGGGAAAGGAACATTAAAAAAGACAGTTTGCATCGTTTAAGTAAATAATTAGAATTTCTAAGGAATAATGCTAAAACAATTAGCATGTCCAGACCAACTGTAAATATAAAAAGAAACTCTCCAAAAGTTAATACAATGGTTCTGGAGTAAGCATAAATAATTCAAAATGTATTTGTGTAGAACTGAATATCATGTGCTATTTAAATGTTCTAAATTTAAAAAGCTGTCCATGGATAAAAGGTTAGAAATAGTGAAAAACCATAATCTTTGTTTTAATTGCCTTTCTTCTAATCACAGCGTTAAAAACATTAAGTCAAAAATCTGCTGTTTTGAGTTTAATAAAAGACACAAAGCTTGCACTTATTACAGGAAAAGAATAAAATAAATTCCTCTGCAGCTGCAAGCAATTTCAACACATGTTCGAAGATTGATAAGCTGACAGGGCAAATATAACTAACCCTTTGGAACAAAGTGCAAAGCACTTGAGAAAAGTTCTATGCATAATAAATTATGAATTGCTTCGCTGAATACAGCTTTAGTGAAGGATAAATTACATCAATTTCAACAGGGCTGAGCTCTTCTAGATGTAGGCTCAATGTCAAATTTCACTGCGAAAAAGTGCACAGACAGGCTTAATTTAAGAGAAAAAATTAATATTATATTATAGTTTCTTCTTCAATTACTCATCTATGATGATTAAAGGATGTACTAAAACTATAATCAAAAAAAAAAAGATTGAAATTTTAAAAAGAACTGAATTTTCTAACTGTGCAAAAACTAACAGATTTAACATTATCTAAAATGTTAAAATGTTTGCTTTGAAGGATTAAATAATATAAAACTGGCAGATGTTAACTTTAATACCCCAGGTGATGTTGACACACTTTTAGGGCAAGAAGTTTTTTACTATCCATTAAAGATTGAAACAATTAGATTCATAAGGTTCACAATTAATTTCACAGTGTTAGGATATGTAATAAGGTGGTAGTGTATTTACTGACAGTGACACTAAATTGCATTGCAGATTAATTATAAATAATGATTTGGACAAAACAATAACAAAATTTTGGGAAATAGAAAAGAGTGAAACTGATAAACCAAACAATAAGAAAACTTTAATTTGTGAGAAAGATTTTGCAGAAAATTATACATGAAATAAAACCAGTAGGTATGCTGTTAAGAGAAGATCCATCCATTTCAAGAAGTTCTAAACAAACTGCAGCAAGTAAATTAAATCTTTATGGAAACAGTGAAGAATGCCGAGTATTGAAATTTATAATCAGATTTTTTTAGAAAAATTTTATCGGTTAGGACCTACAGTAGAGATTAATAAAAGCGAGAGGAAACAAGGATCATATTGAAAGGTTTCAGATTTTAAATTACGTCCAAAGGGGCGTTTTTTAAACATTTTGTTTGTTACCTTTATTTATTAAATATCATATTCTTCGCACTTAAATCATCAAATTCAGTTCAAGAGCAATATTGCAAAATAGTTTTAAATTTTAAATTGAACATATCATTGAACATATCTTGCAGAACTGGAAATAAAAATGTTTTTTCTGTAGAATGTTGCCATTGCTCGCTTTGCAATCCTTGAGTTTGTTAATCAAAAATTCCTTAAAGATTTACAAATATGAAATTGATAATAAAACAAATTCTAAATTTCAAATTTGGGCTTCCACTTGCCCATATTTGCAGTAGGATTATGTCATTCAAAATTCGTCGGCTCTATGTACCGTTGTTTTATCACAATGCGAGAAATATACATACATTTATGCAGATTTTTCATTATTTAATTTCTTAAAATATAATGCAGGACTATAATATTTGGCAGTAACAGCTTGAAAAGTGAAATGGCCATTTATAGAGCACCAACGCAAAATCACAAAACGAAAACAATAGTCCTTCAGGAACAAAGCCCCTTTGGACTGAAAAAAGGTGGAAGACAGTTATATATCTCCCATTCTACTAGGCCGATTGGCAAAATTCAAATTGTGTTTTTCATGTCTCGAAAGCACGACTTAGGATATATATTAGATTTATATATAGCATTGTTTTAATACACCATGGCCATTTTTGTATGCAGAGCAATTAACTCAATTTCTGAGCCTGATATCATGAATGTTTTAAAAAATTATGGCAACATACCACAATTTGGATAAAAATTATCTGGAAAAAATGGAACTCCAATTATTTAAGTCATTTACAAATCCATCTAAATGGCAAAGCCATAGACAAATATAAATATTGGAGATGTGGTTTTAATTAAGAATAATTTGCCTTCTTGTAACTGGTCGAAATGGTAGAATAATAGAAGTATTTTATGGTAAAGATGAAAAAGTTTGTGTGCATAGTGTTAAATTTCAGATGGTAGATTTAAATGACCAATTGCAAATTTTTATATCTTACTGCAAAAATTAGTATTGTCTTTATAGTTATTTACAAATATACCACATAGAAAGTATTGTTATGTAACTGAATTTCATGGTTTATTATTTTGGGTTTATATGTTAAATGTGCGTTTCTAATTTTGATAATTTTATGTTAATTTGTTTGTTGCACATTATAATTCTTTTGCCTGCGCACCTGTACAATGTAGGCATGTGACTCGTGATGTGGGTTAGAGTTACCTCTGATGGCATGCAAGATAGACTGTAAAATAGCTCATTGAAAGCTATGAGTTATTAATTTTATAACAGTGAGCTTGAGTTATTGTAAGATTAATAAAAAATAGTTACAGTCCACTTAGGTGTTATTATTAATGAAACAAACAAAATATATGTCTTCACTGTGTTATCCTTCCAGAGGCAATCACTTTAAAACTGTTATCAACTAATTTCTTTCATTTCAAGCAAACACTTGAAAATTTATAACCGTTTTTTAAATGAAATTTTTAGTTCATCTAAAGAATAATTACTACTGCACATCTGGTAATCAGAATCTACTTAAAATATCCAAGTTCTGCTATAGAAGTATTAGGCCAGATGCTACTTCTTTTTATTCACGAGATCTAAATTAAGTGAGAAATATCACAGATGGGATAAAAAATCTAATATAAGACATGCAAGCTAATTTCTATTATTGAAATTAATTTCTTGAAAATAAGACACAATCCCAATCCTTTCAATCTGAATGCAGTTAAATTTTGAACTTGTAAAATTTCATTCATTTATTAGCATGGATTTAGATTTTAATTTCAAAAGAATTTGTTCGCCCTATATGAATGTCTAATAATTAAATTACTCACAATACCTTATGGCTTTCTACATTCACCAAGATTTTACTCCTCAATTCTTTATAAAAATTAACTATGTTTTTTATACATGCGATTCAAATTTGATTTGATAGGCATATTTTTTACACATTAAAAATAGTCTTAAATTAAAAATGTATATTTTTATGCAATAATAGCAACACATAATATGGAATTAAAATATTCATGAAAGTACATAAATGTAAGAAAAAATTTAAAACATGCTTTAAAATTGAACATATGATTATAAATGTAAGAAACATTTAAGACATGCTATAAGGAAATATATTTTCATTTTACTGTGAAACAAACTTCAGTGTGTTATGTGTTGCTATTATTGCATCAAAATATACATAATGAGTATTTTTAATGTGTAAAAAAATATGCATTTCAAATCAAATTTGATGCAAAGTTACATATGAAAATATACAAAAAAAAAAAAAAAAGCTTCTTTCAATATCAGAGATATAAAATAGCATTATAATGTGATTAAAACAATTAAATACAAGTTTTGTAAATAAAATACTGAATGCTCAGACAAATACAATATGCTAAAATAACACCAAACTTGGTATAAAAGTATTTCTAAGCAAAACCTATACTTCCAGTAAGATAATGCAGAATATAATGTATATAGAATCAGCAATATGTTAATAAAGCATTTCATTAGTTGACTGAACATTTATACATTTTGATGCATAATTAATAGTAATACATTTTGATGCATAATTAATAGTAATACTCAGATTGCAGTTTTAATTTTTAAAAAGTTATGAACAATGTATTTGCATAAGAAGGAAATAACGAATAATATTCCTTTTAAATTTCATATTTTTATTGATATTCGATACATATGTAAACATTTTAATATGCATAAAAACACATAAATAATCCTTTTGTATTGGCTAATGTAATATATTATTATAGTGCTCATTACCTGTGGAATTTACTTAAAACAAGTTTTTTTTTCAAATTGATATACTCCCAAAATAATTCATAAATTAAATTATAACTGCCACAAGCTATTAGAAATATTACTAAACTATTTTAAAACCTGAAAAATATTCTTTAATTGATTACATTAAAAATTAATTATTAAGTACAAAGAAATATAATGCAAAGGATACAAGCTATGGCTTCAACTGCACCTTGCCGTTGCACATCATTATCTGTCGCACCTAATTTTGAAAGGACTTTATCAAGAACAATGTTCATAGTTTTCACAGTAATAACTTTACTTAACTTCCCCAAGCAACTAGCAGCTTTATGTCGTATAATAGGTAATGGATGCTCCAGACAACAGCACACATGACATATAACATTTTCCAGCTAAGAAAAAGGAAACGATTATTATAATTAAAAAAAAAAAAAAAAAAAAAAGAGAGAGAGAGAGAGAAAGAAAGAAAGAAAATCTGAAAGGTTTCAGATTTTAAATTACGTACAAAGGGGCATTTTTTTTAAAAAACATTTTGTGTGTTACCTTTATTAAATATCATGTTCTTCGCACTTAAACCATAAAATTCAGTTCAGGAGCAATATCGCAAAATAATTTTAAATTGAGCAAATCTTTAGACTTTCTGATACACAGTCTCACGTGCTGGAGATAAAAATGTTTTTTCTTTACAACGTTGGCATTGCTCGCTCTGAAATCCTTGAGTTTGTTAATCAAAAATTCGTTAAACTTTTGCAAAATATGAAATCAATAATAAATCCAGTTCCAAATTTCACATTTGGGCTTCCAGATGCCCATATTCACAGTAGGATTACATCAGTCAAAATTGGATGGCTCTAGTTAGTGTTGTTTTATCACAATTCAAGAAACATATATACATTTATTCATATTCTTCATTATTTAATTTCTTCAAATATAATACAGAGTGATAATATTTAGTGGCAACACTTTGAAAAGTGAAACGAACATTCAGAGTGATTCGACCCAAAATCGCAAAATGAAAACAATTGTCCTTCAGGGACAAAGCCCCTTTGGACTAAAAACTACTGTACTACTACTATAAAATGTAAATTAAAATTTTAAGAAATACAGCCGAGTCCATAAATATTTTCTTTCTTGAAAATCACTGTGATAAAATAATTTATTTCTCCCCCTTCCTCATAATAGTCATTCTGTTCAGCACAGAAATAAATTTATGAAGACCAAATTAATGAAATAATACATGGATTAAATTTGCTAAATTCTGTACTTGGCTCATTACATTTATCATAGGATTAAAAAAAAATAATTTTATTACATTTCTGGAAGTCTGTAATAAAGACCTTTGATTTTTGTTGATGAATTTTATCACAAAATTTTTCTTAACAATTTTGCACCAGTTTAAATCATATAGTCAAACATGCAGGACATAGCCCCCAGCATATTTGGTACAGAATACATTATAAAAAGATCTTGCTAAATATCATGTCTTAGAATGCTTGGTACTGATATTTAAATCAGTATTAACATGAACAAGTTACATATGAAAATATACCAAAAATGCTTCTTTCAATATGAGATATAAAATAGCATTATAATGTGATAAAACAATTAAATACAAGTTTTGTAAATAAAATATTGAATGCTCAGACAAAATCAATATGCTAAAATAACACCAAACTTGGCATAAAAGTATTTCTAAGCAAAACCAATACTTCCAGTAAGATAATGCAGAGTAATTGAAATGAATACATTATATAGTCTTCATAAATTACTAATCGGGGGGGGGGACTTTAAAACTGCTCATAAAATTTTATACAAGGCAGATGTTTTCTATAATACATACAGTTCAGCATATTAAACTAAAACATATTACCTTTTTTTAATAAATTATAGTTTTTTAATAAAATATAGGTAAGAAAAATTTTTGACTTTAACAAAGTTTGATAATTACCTTGAAATTTAAAATTTCTGATTAATATAAAGTGGCTCAAAATATTATAATAAAAACTTAGATAAGATTAAAAAAGATGCAACATTGAAAAACATTTCTCATTATCATAGCAACTATTAATGGCAGAATAAACTATGAAATTTTCTTTAAAAAAGTTTTGAGAATATTTAAAATTTTTAAAGCATTCATAGCAAGTATCCTCCAATAGAATTTACATATTTCATTCTTTACAAAAATATTTATTTCATGTTTATAAATTCCATATGTACTATTATTCTCAATGATTACTGGTTAAACTATTAAACTTTAAAATATAAAATAAAAATAATAAACAAATTAATAATATAAACAAGAATAAAACTTTCAACATAATATAATAATGACTGTATTTAAAAAGAAAGTGAGAGTAAAACTACCCTGCTGACCATTAAATTGCTACATCAGGAAGGAAAGCAAACAGATAAAGCTTATTTATTGTAAATATAAATGGGAGGAGACATGATTAAATTTGCAGGTGGTTTGAGAAAGACAGCATGCAGAATTCACTACAGAGAACTGCTACCTCTAGCAGCAACAGCAGCAATTTGATTTGGCATCGAGTCAAATTGAACTTGGATGACAGATACAAGTACTTATTCTATGGAACTTCAGTTCTATGCCAGAGTTCATCAACTGTAGCCCCTGGAAAGTGGTGGTGTACCAGTCTCTTGGCAACCCATACCTAAATCTTCTCAATGTGTGAGAAAAACTGAAGAATCTGCTGACCAAGACAACACGAAACCACAAAATAAGCAGCTACCTATCTATACTGAGGAAGGTCGAGACAGCATGAATAGCTGTCATGCATTATGTAGTTGAAATATGGCATCATAAAGTCCTCAAAGATAGAGCACAGCCACGGGCATTAAGGCTTCGTATGTTGTAACAGGTTTAAGCCAAGTTTCGTTGCTAGGTAACCAAGCCTTGCTAAGTCACAAAAATTGGTTTAGGGATCTTGTCATGAAGTTCAGAATTTTCAACTCTGTGCTGACTTGTTATAAGAGCTGACCAATCAGAGGGAACGTGCAAAACCTATTGAGCAGAAAACAAAGCAGAAAGGTTGTAGACACATCCACACATGCGTAAATTTAGCTTCTCTAATTGGCTGCAGTTCAGATCCTGTCTCACAGGTGTAGAATGGAATTCCTGCATTTTATGCCTTATGACATTTATACCACTGTCTAAACGACACCTAACATGTCAAAAAATGCAATGGCAGATGTCTGCCATGCTGACAATACAGGGTTCTGTAAACCCCATTACACTTTTTGTGTGGATACTTGTTACCCTGCATATGAGCCAAGTTCCTGACTCAGGATATGTGATATGTCTGCACAATTCTGCAACGATGAGATGACAACATGGCTGCCCTTTGGAGCATTATTTTCCCAGGGCTGCTGAGATCCTACATGGTATTCGGTATGGTTCTCCTAGATCTATCGATTCCATATTCACCTGATAGTCACAGTATCCTGACCAACATGAACAGCAATATTGCAAAATGTAAACCACAGTCTCATTTGGCCACAATTTTGTTGCAGTCAAACTCCAACACAAAGAGAGTTTCTACTTCTTACACAATACATAACACAATATTATACAAACAATCAATGTTCAAATAAGATTTTACAATTAGAAATTCCCTGTGTCAATCTTCCTGTGTAACTGCATAATGCAGATAGTGTGTGTGGGTTTCGTGAAGGGAGAAGATCATGGCACTCATCAAATAGCTCAGAGTTGAATCATCTCTTCCATCTATCATTTTTCGATCTTGTAGTTAACTACAAGGTGCATGGATGTTCTTGTGTAGTGTCAAGTTTGTCAATATAAAATAGCAGTGCTTGATCATTGTTGTGTGCCAAAGTGTAACTCTAATTATGTCGAGACAAAGAATTACATGAGTGTATATAAATTTCTAAAGGATGATTCAAAAAAGCAGGTGTGATGGCAAAAGATTCCTCATGTGAATTCCACTCCATCTAGAATTTTTATAAAGCTTTTCAAAGTGGCGAGACATTACGAAGGCTATGCATCCAAAACTGTAACTATTCAGAACTAACTCAAACTGCTGAATGCTAAAATGAATGTCAGAAGAATATTTTAATATTTTGCAGAATTTTATATTGTGGTTAGAAGCATGGTGGAACATGAAGCGAAAACCACATTATGGATGTTTAAATGAAAAGATATTTGTTGCTTTGATACACACTACAAAATGCATGATACCTGTTAAGTAAGCTTCTTCAGTCAAATGGGACATATATATTGACAGGAAAATTTCAAACTGATTATTCAGAACCTCAGTTTGGTTTGTATTGTCAGATGTCAGATAATGCATTTTATGTGACTGCTCAAAAGATTTCAGAGAGTGAACAAAAACTTTGAAGGGAAAGTATATTGATACTACATTTAGACATATTGGTGAATGTTCCAATGTCTCATTTTTGATGAAATAACACATGTAATGAATTTAGTGACATGTGATATTTTTTATGTTAGACAATATTCTAAGTGATGCAGAATTACATGTATCATCAATGAATGAAGAGCAACTTTTTAATATACATAGTTTTTGTTACTGTATTTAAATATATTTTTTGTTTTCATTGTTTAATTTGACATATGATTGTGATAACAAGGAAATTTTAAATTAGAAAAAGATGTTAATGGCATACTGTTTAACAAACAGCAAGTTCTAATTCAGAAGTCAAACAACAAAAATCAGCATTATATTTTCAAATTTTCACAGGACTAGTTTCGATGGTTTTACCGAACCACCATCCTCAGCTGCAAAAAGCGCAAATGATTGAGATAGGATATAATGATCAGATAAGATAAGAAAGCCTGGACAAAAATAAGTCCAAGCTTTCTTATCTATCTGATCTTCTTGTCCAGGCTTTCTTATTTTATCTAATCATTATATCCTATCTCATTCATTTGCGCTTTTTGCAGCTGAGGATGGTGGTTCGGTAAAACCATCGAAACTAGTCCTGTGAAAATTTGAAAATATAATGCTGATTTTTGTTGTTTGACTTCTGAATTAGTATTTGTTCGACGTGCTATTGTGTCTTAATTAAACAGCAAGTTTTAATGCACATAGCAAGTTATAATGTATATCCGCGGTTTTCAACGTTTTGACTAACGCATACCATCTAAACAAAAATTGAAAAACTTTAGTACCACCACTACATTTTACAATTATTATTTTTCAATTTCTCAATAGAAATATTAAAATAAAAATATATTTTGCCATTTGAACAACATACTGGCTATATTAAGTGTACACACATAAAAATATATTTAATTAAAAATTGGTTACCATTTTAATTATCAAAATTTAAGTCATAATACTTTAATTCTAAAATTTAGTGTGAAATTTGAGAGAGATTAATTTCTTTATGTCTAGTCTTATTTCACTTAACTTTAAATTAGGATCCGATTTTAATTTTGTTCATATTTTATTTTCAAATAAAACGTGGAAGAAAATACTTATTCACGCAAATGGGTTGTGGAAAATGGCAATAAAAATTTAACAGCTTTATTTGAAATGCCTTTAAATTCTTTCTTTCAGCCAAAAGTTAGCAAATGTGTTATTTTTGAAATCTTCAGTTAGAGTTCAATCATAGGAAATTTGAATCAATTTTATTTTTTCTTGATGAGATTTTTTAATTTAATAGTTAAAAATACTTTGTTTCTTTGCATACCACCAGTTGAGAATCACTGGTGTATGTTATTCAAGGCTTTTATGCAAAGAAAGATTATTGATTTTAAAGCATGCATGAAATATTCATGGTAATCTAACATAATCCTAAAATGCAGAAATTAAAAATATGTAGTATACACATTTGCATATGATCAGAACATATATTATTATATTTATATTACATATATTATTATATTTATATTAGAATATATGTTTAAAATATTTAGTGGTATTACTAAATATTTTAAACTATACTTATTATATTTTCATGTATCATAAAATTTTAAAAATGCTAAATAATTTTTTATTATTTGTGAACTAAAGTTCTGTTACTTTTGTTTTGGTATTTGCAGCTTCAAATACTGCATAAGCCACATTTTTTAAATATTACAGTCATGTGTAATTGTTTGCCAGGTATATATGTTTGCCTCATTACACACATAAATGGCTTTTAGAATTTAGGCTTTTTGCTATTATATTTAGGTAATTCTTATATGAAAGAGTTTTAATAATAATTATCAACTAATTTATATAGTCCTTTATTTGCATGTTTCAGAGATATAAAAGTTATTGGTTGTAATATTTTTCTTTGTGAAACTCAAATAAATTAAGTACTTGAGCACAGATAAAATATTGATTATAATAATTCTTATCTTTAGATCTGCTTTTGAATTTTTCATGACATGAGCAATTTTCAATCAGTGTTTAAACTGTTGTGAAACATTTCATTGTTACTCATCAATTATATTTATGCAAAAAGCTAATTAAAATACCTTTAGAAAGTCACATGAAAATAATTTATAAAGACTTTTTTCTGTCAACTTATTTTACTTAAATAAGCAATATGTTAAGATTTATTTCTGACAAAATTTTTAAAATAACTATTTCCATATAACTTTCTGATAACAGCATTGGAGAGGGAACAGAGTCATATTTTTTAAGTATCACAACCTTCTCCCTTCATGAAGGCTACACTCACATCTGCTTTGTGTGCTTGTGCTGAACGCTAATCATTTGCATATCCCAGCATGTAGTACCACCTTCCATGTAAATCTGACGTTGCCACCTTCACAGTGTAGCAGTTTTAACAGTATATAATTTTATGTTTTCTTACAGTAATATAGCAAAGCATTAAATATCTGAAATTTTCCCATTTACAATACATTACTATACCCATTTTTAAAGAACTAAAAATTGTTCATCTGCTAGTAACTGAAAATGCAATCCATTTACATTTAGATTCATTAATTATGCGTTATATGTTTCCCCTTTGGAGGGGGGAGAAAAATAAAAAGCAAATGATCATAAGTAAACAAGTTTAGTATATGAGCAATGGAGGCACAGAAAGAAAAGCATACAAGTATACAGCAATTGAAGAGTGTTACAGATTCAAGATCTAAACTATTAAGCATGCGGAGCAGAAGAATTGAAAAATTATGGAGAATTCCATTCACCATTGCTATACTTAATTTCAGATATGCTCAACAATCTTCACCATTATCAATTTGATCAAATTTTAAAGAATTCAGAAAATCAATCAACTTGAGAGCTACACATAAAAAATAAATTATTTTCCAATAACTCTAAGGATACATACAATGGCTTAGATGCAAATAAAATTAAAATAAAAAATAAAATTATTTCCCAACAGCACATTTCCATGAACTTACGGATTATACTAGGAAAATAACTATTAAGTTTTCTATTTTTAACATACTTTATTACAGAACTTGCAATTAATAAACACAGTCCCTTATTTTACTTAATTTCTAAGAACATCAATTAAAAATTTTAGAATGCATTTTTAGTTTGATGCCAGTTTGAATTTTAGTTTGACGATTTTAACAAGATTTAACTAAATCTGGTACTCTTTAAGAATTAGTGCAAATAATATCTGATCACTTCTCAAGCTATTGGCACCAGAGTTTTAGATAAATTACAAAACTTGATTAAAATTCATGATTTGCTTATTATAAATGGACTTTTACATACATTTTTGAATAAACCAATATATTATTGCTATGGATACATAATCTTCATATTTGTGAAACAGATGTTAATAAATGCGGAATTACCAGTAGTAGCAATGAAATATTATTTATTTGCTAATATTAAGAATTATTATTTATGAACTTTTCTGAGTGAAAATTGGTAAAAAGTAGGTATTTAAACATAATTCATTCAATTCACATTATGCTAGCCATTCAGCAATTTGCTGCATGTTATTCTTGCACATACTTACTGCCTTATTTCCTCCTGTACATACCGCCTACTCACTTGCTCCAAGACACTCATTTTGCTCAGACAGTTCAGTCATATTACAAATTAAGAAATAAGAGTGCTTTTCTCTGTTTATCTTTTCGAATTACATGGCTAAATTTAGCAGTTCTAAGTTTTTAACAATATGGGTCAGCACAGTAAAGAAATAACTGACACAGAAAAGGAGCTTGCACAAAAAGGTTTAAGTGATATGCATATTGATTTTCATAAATATTCATTTAGAAGACCAAAGAAATAGGAAACTCTAATTAAACATATAACTAGCATCAGTCATTTACAGAAGAAAAATGTATCTACCAAGGCCCATGCGAGATTAGGCAGCAAGCTATGACTGTTGACAATTTTGAAGTGCAAAAAACAAAAAATAATAATTAATTGAATACACAGTAGAAAAACATTTAACATGTTAACAGTCACTGCTGATCGACAGTATGCTTCCTGTTCAAACTATGCTAGTTACTGTTGACTGACACTATACTTTTTATTCACGCAACTGACTGATGATAGATAGTTCACGCCATTGACAAACGATATGCAATATTAAAAATCATATTCTTCTATCAAATTCTACACAGATCTTCAGTCACTAGCATAATGAAGAAATTGGATATCATGGGCAAAACTGAAAGGAAGGCAAAACAGGTTTGGTACTTGACACATTAAAAAAAAATATTCCACGGCATAAACTAGATCATTAACCTGTATAAATTAGTAAAATATGTGGTTGGTGCAAATAGTCTTCCTTCTGGAGATATTTTGAAACACGAGTATATACCAGTTCAGGCATCCTCTGAGAAAGAAGCAATAAACTGAAAGCTAGGTAAACAGTTGTAGTCATTGACAAAACATCTAACAAACAACCAGATGTGTCTTACTGAAAGCTTCAGAAACACAGTAGTCAAGTTTCTTGACAAGATGAAATTTTTTAGATGTTGTTAATTCTCTTGCTTTTACTGAAGTAATAACTAGCACGTAAAAAGAATATGAAATAGGATATTCCAACTAAGAGAACAAGTACCAGACTTTGAGGCTGCATGACTTTTCCCCTCCCTCAGTGAGTGGAAGATGGCAACTCGAAATGGAATTCTGCCTTCTAAAATATAGATTTCAAATTTGCAAGGCTAATTTAGAATTCTGTTCAAAAAATTAAATTACGCATTGCTTCACATCTTATAAAGTCAGATGTTTTAAAGTCTTCTCTTCAATAAAAAAGTTGTGTTGTAACTTGTAAAGTTGTGTTGAAATTCTTGACAATTATACAAAGCAATTATATAATTGTATTATATAACTGCTGAGCAATTACATAATTTATATGAGCAAGAGGAAAAATCCATGAGAACGAACATATACCTTAAATTTCAGAAAATTTATGTAAGAAATTATGGATATTAATATAAGAAATTACCTCTAAATGTAACTTTTCATGAAAAAATGAACAAATAATATTCAGTATCTGTAAACTACATAGTAGTTCAGTGAAGTTGATATTCTGTGAAAATAGCTCGTCACCTGCAAAACAAAATTTATCAGTGCTCATATAAAATCTCTTTAATATTATCAAATTATCAGTAACAATCTTATAATAATGCAATAAAATAAGTGAATGCTCATTTTCAGAAGGTAGGAAATGCAGTTTAAAATACCTGATTCATCAGGTTTGATGAACTCTGTTAGAGGCTGAAACATTGCTTCCCACAATTTTGGTAGTTTTGTAGGCAATTCTAATCCAAAACGTTTAGCAGCATTTGTAAATACATAAATGGCACCTCGTGCTTGAAGTTCATTTATTTTTTGAGACTGTAATTAAGAAATGATAATAAAAACTTAGTTAATACAATTATTAGGGAATAGAACTATATTTCACAATATTTTATTTAGTATTAAAACACCGCTGTTTAAAAATATTCATGCAAAAATTTTTCATCAAATTCTACTTCCAGAGTAAAAATAATCTGCTATACTCAAGGAAATCTGCACATCCATTTAAATGATTATGGGAAAATTATTTCAACTTAATTGCGCATAGGCACAGAAACACAGAATTATGCAAGCAGACATGCATATATGCACAGAAATATTTCTTAACACATTGCAGAGGAAAGGTGCAAGTTGCAATCTCTTGTTATTCAACTGTTTGTGACAGGAGATACTATTTTTACTATAGATACTATAGATAAAAATACTATTTTTACAATTCATTCAATAACCTCAAAAAAAAAAAAAAAAAAAAAAAAAAGGGGGTTTTGCAATCAGATGCGATAACAATGCTTTCTACTGTTACTTGATGAGTTCTTTAGAGCGATCCACCTAGCTGACTATCAGTTAATATGAAACAGTATATTTTAAATACCATGTGTGCACAGCAAACAAAAGAAGAGACAGCAAGTATTATATATAAATTTTATATCATACCTCTACATTAAAGAAATTGCTTTCAAGCATACTGCCAAAATAGCATTAATAAGAAATAATTAAATATATTAATATTTTTATAAAATATTGTGCTTTTGAATTTTTGTTTAATTTAAAAATGTTTTTACTTTATGACCACAAAAAAGGGGGGGTTAAGACCATATGTTTTATATGGTACACCACCGTTAAATAGTTAAAATGCATTTGAAATTCTTTTGCCCTATCAAGTCAAATTTTGTAAGTCTAAAAATGATGTAAATGTTAACTAAATTACAATTTCATTACCTGCAGGTGAGAAAAGTGTAAAGCAATTTTTTTTAGTCCAAAGGGATTTGAATCCCGAAGGACTATTAGTTTCGTTTTGGCATTTTGCGTCGGACTCATAAATGTCGGTTCACTTTTCAAACTGTTGCCACAAAATGTTAGAGTCCTGCATTATATTTGAAGAAATTAAATAATGAAAAATCTGCATAAATGTATGTATATTTCTCGTATTGTGATAAAACAACGGTACATAGAGTCATCGAATTTTGAATAACGTAATCCTCCCAACGAATATGAGCATGTGGAAGACCAAATTTGAAATTTGAAATTTGTTTTATGATCGATTTCCTATTTTTTAAAACTTTGACGAATTTTTGATTAACAAACTCAAGGATTTCAAAGCGAGCAATGGCAACGTTGTGCAGAAAAAACATTTTTATCTCCAGCGCGTGAGTCTCTGTATCGGAAATTCTAAAGATATGCTCGTTTTAAAACTATTTTGCGATATTGCTGTTGCACTGGATCTTATGGTTTAAGTGCGAGGAACATGATATTTAATAAAGAAAGGTAACACACAAAATGTTAAAAAAACGCCCCTTTGGACGTAATTTAAAATCTGAAACATTTCAGTTTTTTTTTTTTTTTTTTTTTTTTTTTTTAAATAACGGATGCAAAAAATCAACAGCTGCAATTCAGGTTATGGTGTAAAAGAATGCAAAAAAAGAAATACTATAATAAGATCCATGAAAGGGAAATGGAGAAAAATTTTGACAATAGAAAAAAAAGTTAATTTCAGGGACAGTATAAATCTTTTTTTTTTTAACTTGAAAAACAATAAACATAAAACTTAAAAAAGATATTCAAAGAAGAAATATATATTACCTCATCCTCTGAAGTTACTTCGTCAAGCTGCAAGTTTGCATTTTTCTTTGAAGCTATAGAGTTACTTCTCCTAAGAAATACCTTTTCAGCTGACTAAAATAATGAAAAATATTCATTTTATTTTATATCTTTATTTTTAATGTGAGCAATACCATATTGAGTAAATTAAAAACATGCATATTTTATTTTGTTCAACACTTTTAACACATGAACTAAAATAGAATTTTACTTCTCTTTTCATAAATAAGAGCATGGTAGAAAAATTATTGCACATTTATACAAACAAAATAACAACCAAGCAAAAGATATATAACTTTTCAGAGGGAATGGAAAAATAAAAGATTTAAACCTTAATATAGAATATGAATTACAATAAAATATATTAAACACTATTATGGAATCCTTCAATAATTTATTTCTTTTAATTTTAATTGTTATTTTAACTACACTCCTTTGTGGGAAAGGGACACCACCCATGAATAAAGTGAATGCTTTTATTGAAATTAAATAAGCTCTTGTATAGATAAAGAAATTATTAAAAATTCAAGGCCAGATAAAGAGGTGATTAAAAATTCAAGGCCACAGAAGCCATTAGTTATTGGCAATTGCTAATTGAATGTTCAAATCATTAACTAATGAAACCCACCTTTGCAGCAATGCATGCTTGCAAACATTGAAGTAAGCAGTTTAAGATTCCTAATCTCATCCTGCGATACATTGTACCAGGCATTTCTCAATTGTTGCTCCAGATCTGTGACATTTTGGGGTGCTCAAATCTGGTAGGCTACCTGTTTGAACAGTGAAAGGTCTGGTGACTTTTCTGGCCACGGAACAGTATCAACAATTCACTGACAGTCCACAGATATGCGAGCGGTATGAGGTCCAGCATTATCCTGTTGGAAAATAGCTCCAGGATGATGTGCCATGAAGGTAATGCAATAGCAGCAGGATGTTATCAACATTTCATTGAGTCATAAATGGAGGATGACTAGAGTCAACTGCTGTCGGAAGAGATAGCACTCTACACCATCACATCAGGGTTAATGGCTGTGTGTCTCCTGTAAAATAAAGATTAACTAGGAACACTGGCTCCTCCACACATAGACCAGATTCAACACTGAAGCGGGATTCATCAATGAATGCAACATAATGCCAACTGGCTGACAGCCATGATGATTGGCTACGACAGCACACCAGACAAATCTTTGAATGTTGTGGGGTTAAAGGCAAACACCATAAAGGCTGCTGTGAGCACTACTCCCACCTCAGCCAAACACTGTGAGATGGTAGAAGGTGCCTCCGGTGGTTTGCAAGAGACTGCAGTACATTGGATAGTGGGCAATAATGCCATTGGGACAGTTTGTACCTGTCACACACAATCACCTGACCTTGCTTCATATTTATGCACCTTCGCCTTCTACAGCCTTGATTCTGACGACTGCAGCAACCATTTTTGCCAGTATCTTTGCACAGCTGTGCCAGTATTACATTAAACAATTAGCAAACTTCTTAAGTGGCAACTCATTGCTCAGTATGTGCGGTCCACTTCATGCATCCCTACTATGTGACCATGCTGAAAGCCTTCCAATTGTCTACAATAGTGGTTCTTAACTTTTTTTGACCCATGTATACCTTTTACAACTGTTAGATAATCATGCCCCTTTCTTTCCAAAACTGAAAAAAATTCGTAAAAAATTATTTCAATCGAGATTATTTTTAATATGTTTTTATAAATTAAACAAGAAAAAGTATAGAAAATTTTGATAAATGTTCATAACCAAAACTTGAATAACTGTGTTGCTGATGATGAGAAACGATAAACTGTCTACAGTTGTTACTTGTTTTATAGGATAATAGTTGTGCAGCAGCAACCTGTGCTATGACTGACGTTACCACTCATTGGCCTTGAAATTTCAGTCCTTTGTATGTTTGGTAGGAAGGAATTTGCATGTAAAATTTTGAGATAACTGGATTATTATTTTTTTCAATGTGTGCTTTTTTATTTGAAAAGTATGTATACATAAAGTAACGATGAAATATTTTTATGAAAAGTCAATTACATAAAATAATTAGCAAACTTCTTAAGCTCTTTTGATTGCAAAACTTTATTTAATAAAAGTATAAAATAATTCAAAAGTCAAAAGGAACTCAGAAACTTCCACTTAAGTAATATTCGAAATAAACAGTATTACCAGAAATGATGTTCTAATACTTTGAAGCTTTTACAAGTATGTAAAAATGTATGAATTATACGTAGGCAGAAAGAAATTTCACAGGAAAAGTGTTTCATTATAAAATGTGCAACAGAAAATCCATATGAGGGGATTCATGTACTTGTAAAATTGACATTATGAAAATAATTATAACTGCGAACTGTATGCAGTTTTAATGAAATTTCCCACACTGCAAATATTGTCTGTACGAACAGTTTTGAGTTGGCATGTTTAATCATATTTTGTCAAATGATTTTTGCCATTTGAAAGAAAGAGACTTATTTTAGAACATTGCATTGTGACATTTATAATATAACATCTTTATCATTAAGTACAAGGTGTCTGAAATGGAACTATCATTATTAGATCCATCATTTACTTTCATTGTACTTCATCATATTTCTGTTGCGAAAAGTCAGCTACAGATTTCACCAAAGCATGTGTATAGCTTTAGATACTAATGTTATATCATACAAATTGTGAAGGTTTGATACCGAAAGTTCAAAAACAAAGACTATAAGATTCAAGAAGCACACCCCTCTGGACGGCTTTCTAATGTTAATGAAGCACACTTGTGGAAGAAGATCAATATGCAACCACTTGAGAACTTGCTAAGAAGTTAGACGTTAATGAAATATCCATTAGTCACACTATGCATTGCATAAACTTGACGTATAAGTTGGGTGCCGCATGAACTGACTCAAACAGATAAAGAGAGATATGTTCAGGCCTGCACTAATCGGTTCAACTATTACACAAGGACAAAATTCTGGACCCGATCATCACTTGTGATAAAAAGTGGATTTACTTTAACAATGCAGGCCGAAAAGGGGGTTGGTCTGCAAAGGTGGGCCCCGCTGGCAGCATTGCAAAGTGCAATATGACTAACAAAAATATCATGCTTTGTAACTGGTGGGATTGCAATGGTATTATCCCCAAAGAGTATCTGGAAGAAGGTAAAACCCTCGACAGTAAGGTGTACAGCAAGATGCTTAGTCCATTCTGACGCTGCTATCAAGGAAAAACGTCGAACTGAGTTCCGGCACAAAAAGATAATACTCCATCAAGATAATGCAAGACCACAAGTGTCCACATTCAGTGGCTGCACTCTGTATAGACTCGAATGAGATCTTTTGCCACACCCACCACATAGCCCAGACATTGTTCCTTCGGACTTCTACTTTTTTTTTTTTTTTTTTTTTTTTTTTTCAGACCTGCAGCTACATCTTGCTGGTGCTATCTTCCATTCTGCACAGGACGTCCAAAATGAGTTTGATCTGCTTTTGAACTCGCGGCCACAAAGCTTCTGGGCCGAAGACTTTAAAAAACTACCAAAATGTTGGCAGAAAACCATAGATTTGGGTGGCGATTACTACCTGCACTAAAGATACTGCTTTCATGTTTTTTCCCCTAACTTTAACATGAATGTTTTTTGGCAGAAAACTTACGCTACAACCAGATATTTAAATTTACTATATTTTAAACATTTTAGGCATGTTACAAGTGATGCCATTTATATGTTAGATATAATGATATTATTTTAACCCGTTAACTGCTGCAGGCATATATATATACGCCTTGCTCAGCCGATGTGTTAACTGCCCCGGGCGTGTATATATATGCCCTTCCAAAATAGTATCATTTGCTTTGCGCTGCTGCCAGTAAAATTATTCACAAAGCTTTGGAATGCAACACCATAATGACCTTGATGAGTATGCGAAGGAGGATACTATTTCAGAGAAGAAGAGGGAAAAACTGACAGGGGAATGTTACTGAAACGATGAAAGTAATGACTGCGTGGTTATGCTTGTGCTTCTGTTTGAGTAAAATGTATTTTTTTAATTCTGTGTCTTCTGTTTTTGTTTACTGTTTGTAGTAGGTGTTTTTTATGAATATATCTATATATTATGCAAGATGAAGAGGATTGCAACTATTCTCTGAAAGATGCTCTACGTTGGGTATGACTTGATATGAAAAACTTGCCTATAACATCCAACCAATTCAGAAGAAATATATGTTTTTTTAGGTATACTGATTTTACAAGGTACAACACTGAAACACATAACTAGTCTAAAAATAAATTGATCGAAACTCCATTTTTCGGGATCATTTTTATTATACAAGCATCAGTTTTATTATACTTACATCTTTTTTATTATACTTTTACTCCAAACATTAAATTTTGTATTTTCGTTTGTTCTTTTATTCTTTATTTTGTGAAAGTAAACAGTTTCTAGACAGCAAAACTTGCACTTATTTTCCCCAATATATCGCATAACTATGTGGGCTTGTGTAAAAAAGGATGGCACGGCACTGAGGAGTGAATCTTGTCTGTTTTCCGCAGCAGTTAAGGGGTTAAGAGAGAGATATGTTAGATATTATTTAAAAAAAGAATGAAGAAAAAGCATTTACACATAGCTAAAAATGTTCTTACCTTTTGCATATTTGTCAAAGTTATTATTTCAAGATCTTTATTGCTGCTGGAATTTTCTTTTACATTATTCTTTTCAATATTCCTATGAAACTGATCCATACTGGTGAAGTCCATATTAATGACATCATAACATAAAAAGTTTATGAGATTTTTTATGATCTTATGATTTGGGCAGTTGCTTCTAGGAAAACATAATTCCATCAAATTGACAAGGTGAATGGCAGAAGTTTGCTGAAAATGAAAGCAATAAAAAATAGCATCATTAACAATAATAATAAGCACATTATTTTAAGCATCACAATCAAGACAACGAATTAATATTATATTGATGGGCCTTTAGAAAAATTTCTTCACTCTTTAAAATAATCTTCTGAAACCTGCATTTATATTGTTTCCCTTCAATATATATGTGTGCGTGTAAGAAAGTAAAAGAATATGTAAAATATAAATTATAATTTAAATTAGCAGTGTAAATTAATTTCCTTTCCTATTCTAAAAATAGCAATCTCTTTTTGCACTGCGTCATTTCAAGATTAATCCATGTCATATGACTCTTATATAATTCTGATGATGTAAATGGAACTAAAACTCAAGCAACCAATAATAATTTTACAGCAGTATTAATTATCCAATCAAAATGCATTGAGAACCAAAACTAATTCAGTCTGAATTACGATTTCATTCTGAACGTAATACACTTGCTCACTACTCTTCGGCCTAGCTGGACTGCTGCTTCTTTCTTATTGCAAAGTTATAAAAAAATGTAAACCTCATGAAAATAGGCACAAATAGTGTGCCAAGTTGTTTGTAGCTACAGCATGTTTACTGATATAAAATAAATATTTTATCTGCCTTGGCTACCAGTTTCCTATTCCTTATGTATTGGGATTTTGGCATCCTATGACATCAAAATTTGTGCTAATTATTATGGATTCAACTGTCTGCATTGTACACTATCAATATTGCAAAGTCCTTTTTTTATTACATACATATAAGTTTACGATATAACTTTAATATTAAAGAAGCAAACAAACTTGTTCTGCCTTAAGAATGTGGTGTTTAGGCACTTTAATTAGCTTTTCAATAAAGCCTTTTCATGTTAAGGCTATATATTTAAGTTGCTGTTTGACATGCAGAACAGGTTAAAAAGTATAAGGTCCATATTGAAAGAAGTCTTATAATCAGTCAATAAAATATTTAATAAACATTTAAGAAACATTATTATAAATTTGCTATATATTACTTAAGTACAACTGATATAAATTTGGGGGAAAATGCACCCTATTCACAGTTAAATACTGAACATTTACAAATTTGATGTAGACACAAAGAATTATTTGTACTGAAATTCTGAATGTCATTTAAATAAGATATGACATTTTGAAGCAAAATATATGCAAATGTGAAAATAACAGAGAGCGATAGAAAAGGGAAAAAAAGTTATAGTCATGAAACTTGGTGTGCAGATGGCATTTGAAGGATTGCACAAATAATTAGAATTTAAGTACCAGTGCCATTACAAGACTTACTCAAAATATTTGAGAACGGCACATTTATACAACATTTAAAAGGGCAAATTTTCTCATTCATGGGCAATTTTAACTGAATTTTCTGCTTTGATACCACATCTTATACTTAAAAGATTAATTTAAGCTACTTTTAGTGGCACTATTAACAGCTGCATGATTCAGAAGTCATATCATAAGGTCGATAATAATAATAAAAAAGGATTGATCTAATAGGTATATCAGCCACCATTTCAGAGCAGTATGGTAGTTACACAAGTTTTGATAGCAACAGATTAGAGAAAGCATATGTAATCTATAAAGCAGCTTGGAATGCCTGAAACAACAACAGCTTGGAATGCCTGAAACAACAACAGCTTGAAATATTTGTGCAATTAAAAGGATGGCAATGATCACACAATTCATGTTGTCATCGCTCATCTGAGCACATCCAGTAGTATCTTCTGTACACCATACAGTAATTAGGGATAAAAATTTCTAGTAGAAGCTGAAATCAAGATAGTTATGTCCATTAATACTGACCTTTCAACATAGTCAGAGCTGACTGGATTGGTGTACAGTTTGATCATCCAGGGCACCAGTGAATTAAAAGCATCTTCTGTTTAACTCAGTCTAACATCATTCTCAATGCTGATGAATTCTACTTATAATCAGTGAAATAATCTTTTAAGATAGATAGTTTCCTAATCCTTTAAGATAGATCTAGGTCGGTATACATGTGATGTGGCAGATTGTGCATTACGACACAATCTGCCACATCACACATTCCACAACTGATAGCATTACATAAGTGATCAAAGTGTCAAAGAACCATTTACCTAGATTTATTACCATTAAAAGATGTCTCAATTATACAGCGAAGGCAGCTTTCTGAAGAGACTTAAACAATGTAATTCACTTTATGTCACTTCGCATATCAGCTTGTAAGCTGAAAGAAGAGAATATACTGCTTTGCTATTTACCTTATTCCTTAAGTTAATTCTTAGCTCAAAAATTCTGACAATTTCTGAATACAGCTTATCAAACAATATATATATGCCAATTTCATGACAACGGCTTAATTTTTAATGGGTGAATATACTTTTATAAGACAGAAAAAAACCAGAAAATTTCCACCCCATGAAAAGCTGCAAACTCATTGGTGACACTTTGAATCGAGAAAAAGCATTTGTTTTACCCTCTTTTCAGATACTGTTCTGTTCATAAATAATATTAAAAAATAAACAACAAAAAATTTTATGTCGGGGGGGGGGAATCTATGTGATCAACATTGAATACTATTCACTGAAATGATGAATAAATATAATGTATAAAAATCCACTTGTATTCAAATACAGGTATGGTAAGTGCATGCCCAAGATGGCTACATTGTTGTTGTGACTTACCCCACTTCAGAATATCAAAACATGCAAACAAAATTTTACTGTGGCAAAGATTTTAGGTTAGCTTTTCTGTCACTGGCATTGGCTCTGGTTACCGTATATGTGACAGAATGACTTTGCCCAATTCTGTCTGAATTTTGTAAGGAATCCTTCAGGGGATAGGTCCTAGAGTTTTCAACTCAAAATTTTCTTAACAACAAAAATATGCAGAATATTTTTTTAAAATAAAGAACTAATTTAAAATACTATGTAACTAATACCTGAATCTGCAGACACACTAATCCTTGAATGAAAATTGTATCAAAATACTCACAAGGAGGGGGGGGGAATTACTTTTCTACAGAAAAATAATAAATTAATTCTGCACTAAAAACTATTTTGCCTGTTATTTCCATCAAATAAATAAGTTATTACTTGAGCTTGGATTATTACTTGAGCTCTTATATATGTTAAAATTAGCATTTAATAACCTCTTTTTCTTTATTTTACATGAAAATATATTAACAAAATTGCTTATCTTGTAAAATAATTTTCGGAAGCTCTGTTCAATTTATTCCAAAGTTTGAATTGGCAAGATTCATTAATAAAATTTAAAATTAATAAAGCAATACAATAAAGACTTTTTACAGTAAGATATAAAAAAATTTAAAATGGAAGACTGTGGTAAATTTCGAAACACAGAGAAACGCAAAGTCCTACATTGCATGTTCCACAAGCATAATATGTCTGTTGCTTTTTCTTTGTTTTAGCACGGTTTGTGAACACATTATGTACCTTCTTCGGGTTTTTTCACCCTTTTCGTTCATGCAAATTGTAGGAAAATGCCTACCAGATAATTGGATAGATGCTGGTACAGATCTGACAGCAAACTGCTTTCCTTCGCAATAATTTTCGTAGTTCTCGAACAGTTGTTCAATCAGTTTCATTTTAAATTGGAGAAACAGCATTTTATTCCATGTAGATGCTGGTATAGATCTGACAGCAAACTGCTTTCCTTCACAATAATTTCCATAGTTCTCGAACATTTGTTCAATCAGTTTCATTTTAATGCCATGTTTTTTGTCAAAAAAAATGTTGGAGTTTAATATTGGTATATCCATCAGTCCCAAAATCAACTTTTTGTGCCATTTAACTGGATTTTCGAAAAGATGAATAGTGTGCCATAACTGCGTCTCCTATGTCTACACCAGCCATATTCTTGTTATAATCTATAATACATTTAGGTTTTAAAATGTCTTCTCCAGCAATTCTATCTTTTCTGCCAAATTTAGTCATTTCTGGTCCATGTATGCTCGTTAGCACAAAAACGACTTTCTTTTTTTCTTTGAAGGCAATGATGTTCATGTTGTTTTACTGCATTACTTCCAATTCACCCTTTTTTAGTTTTTTCCTGGAAAATCTTTAGGCATTCTTTTTTGTTTTTGTTTTTTTTTTTGTTTTTAATACTGTTCACAAATATTAGTTTTTACGGAATGCAAATATTTCACAAGTGATAGGGACAGAAGAAGGGATCCAAACATAAATTATCCCCTTTCTCACATAAATTGCTCATCAATGTCTTCACTACTCTTTCTTCGCAAGACCTGTCGCTGCTTAACATTTCTGTGTCCTTCCCACAGTAAATTAAAAAGTTCCACACATAACCGGTAACTGATTCGCATAACTTATACATTTTTATACCATAACACAATCTTTTGGATGGCACGTACTGTCGAAAGTCAAGATGTCCTTTCCAAGCAAAAAGGGATTCATCTATGCAAATATTTTCCTCACATGTGTAGCTTTTTTAAAATTTATTTTTTAGATTTTTCTACGATTAGTCCTAGTTTTCCCACTTTTTAGCTCTCTTGTCTGAGGTGAAATGCAAAAATTTCAAAATATTAAGGAAACGTATCTCTAGGCATAACTCTGTTGAAAAAACGGAGTAGCGAATACTTCATTTGTAGCGAAATACATTTTCAAATTAGGCTTCTTGATAATGCCCATAGTATTATCATTGCAAAAAATACTTTTACATTTTCAATATTTACATCTGAAAATCTGGCTGACTTAGAAGTTGACGAAGCACTACTTTGAGGGTTTTGAGCAAAACTGAGTCTTCAGCAATCAAATTTAGTAGATCATCATCAAAGATAATATAAAAAAAATCAATTTCCTTCTCAGCATTTAGAATTTATTTGTGGTGTTCCAGTAAATGTAGGGGAATGCAACTCCTCAAACGTAAGAGTCCAAGATGAAGTATCTTGAGACGCACTTTCACGGGAAGTTGAAGGCAGGCACTCACTAAGCTCTGTCTCTGACAAAATGTCCGTATCAGAATTACTATAAGTATCACTTTCTAACTCTTTAGAAAATGAATCATCACTCTCATCTATGTTAGTAAATGGTTCATTTACCATACGAGTGTAAACTTCCTTTGATAAATAATGTCTTTGCATCAACGACAAAATAGATTGGAGTTGAGGCTTTCCGAAATAAAAGGGGAATGACCTGAAATATATCTTAAGGCAACGCAAAATGTAACAGAGCTCCACATAGTAACCCTAAAAAACAGTACATGTTAGAGGAAAAAATGAAAAAAAAAAAAAAAAAGTCTGTTCTCTTTCTGGTTTCTGGTAGTCTGGTTTCAACACCCTTTTCTTTTTCCTCGCATGGTGTTACATGAGTCCATTAATACACTAATTAAGTTTGCCCATGGAATATTATTATCTTCAATAGCATTAACAACTGCTTTAAAAACAGCTTCTGAATTGCAAGATTCCATCTTTAGAGATGCAAAATGATGACCTACAACTTCATTTTGATTGTTGTCATAAAACTGCACCAATATTGCCAATATACTTTCTTGAGCATTGCTAGTACTTTCATCCAAATTTAGAGAATATGGAGTCTCCTTTAAAGTTTTAATGATATTTTCCTTAATAGTTTTTGCGAGCCCATATTTCATCTTATAACATGCAGTAGTCCTGGACATTTCCAACGAGTTTAGTGCCGTCTGATCGCGGCTCAACTGTTTGCAGAGTTCAATTAAATTGGGAGCTACATTGAAAGAAAGAGAATTCTCGACGATAAACGAAGTTTATTAATACCTCTTGGCGTGCTTTTCTTGTCACTATATCCAATGGCCGAGCATCAGTCTCCAGTAAGTCATGAGTATATTTTTAATTAGCATAATTACTTAAAGTCATTGAATGTCTAATGCACTTTGAATATTTTATGTGCGTCACAGTTTTAGAATGATCTGTGAAAAGCCTTGAATCCTTTCCCACCATACTTCAGCATTGAGTTACAAAAAACACAATATGCTTGTCCAGCAACATTTATTTTCTTGCACCATGTGCCGATGGTATCCCCATTACCATCTCTCCGTTCAATCCAATTCCACCTAAATGCATTCCAGACACCTTCTTCTAATTGTATAATATCGCTATTTATATAGAGAAATTTCATAGTGAAATTCTCTTGCGTACATAAATAAAAAAATATTTCAATAAACGAAACGAAAAATTTACACATGCATCAATAAATGAAACGAAAATTTTACACAGCGGAGAAAAAAAAGTTGAGAAGCGATCAATAACAAATAGCTAATACGGCAAAAAATCCCCCTTCTCTACTTATTGGCGCCACGCCAGGAGAGATAAGACCTTTGAACCCAGAGTCACGTGACCGCACATCTGGTCGAACGAAGTCTCTCCCTTTTTTTTCTGCCGCACCTACTTGCCGAAAAGAATCCAGAAGAGAATGTCCGAGAACCGGGCGAATGAGTCATAACTCGCAATAAGGAAAGAACAAAAAAGAAGTTTTTTCCCCCTTTTCACGCATTATCACTGCCTTTGGAAGAAGAAAGGAAAAGTTTTCACCACACACACTGACCTTGCATTTTCTGCTTTCAAAGCAAACAAAATTACCCAGATCAAAATAAATAATTCATTATTATTCCTACTTCCTTTTGAACGACGATCCCTGGAATATTCCGGGGATCGAAGTTCAAAATCCCCGGAATTCCGGGGTTTCCCCGGAGCACAAACACCTTTGTTAAATAGAAGGGAAGTAAAACTTGCTCTGATTGTTTTGAGATGTATTAGTTTTGTTAGAGCTAGAAATTTGCATTTCTCCCTTTTGCGACTGCGCTGAGTAGAAAAGGCGAACTATATTGTTCTGCAAATGGTTCCTGTGAGGAGGATACACGAACAGACAAGCAGAGAAAGAGTAGTCTGTCTTCCCGATTCTGAGGGTCCTGATGTATGACCTTCCTGCTACGCCTATCTGATGATGTTTGCTGATGTGGCCAGCCGCTGTGAACTCTTAAGCGTGGTGCAGAAACGCGATGCAAGGAGACCTACTAAGGAACAGTTCAGTTGAAACAAGCATCTACTCACGCATTCTGGATTATTTATCTACATCGTCATATACCTGCCTATGTGAAAATGACTGTTAAGCAGGATCAATTCACACTGCACCAGTCTAGTACATTTTGTACGTTATCCATCGTATAAGTTCTTTAATGTGTCAAAGTCGTATGTTCATCTATACTGTTAAATCTTAAGGACTGAAGACACTGATAAAATTTTATGTTTAATTTTTCAACTCAGTGCAGTTTATACTTCTGTAGCAGAGAACCTCGCTTCCACATCCACCACTACGCACAACTCTTAAGGTTCTTCAGAGAGCACCAAAAATTTTCAAATACACAAGTCTGAAGGAGGGAATTCAAGTTAAACTTTTGAATTTTGTAGAAGAGCAGGTGAAACTACTCAAATTTTGAATCAGTATCTTTTGCATTATGGGAAAAAAAAAAAATTAAGTTGGTTTGTTTTACTGCTGATAACACTAACAATAACTTTGGTGATGTGATGAGAATGGGTGAAAATGTGTTCAAGAAAGGTTAAAAAAGATTTAGATAGACCTATTTTAGGAATTAGTTGTTCAGCCCCACTGCACACAATTCGGTACAAACAGCATGTGATTCTCTACCTAGACAGACAGAAAGGTACAGATAGACGAAGGAACAGACGTAAAATATTTAAAAAATTTTATTCCAAACTGTGATAACAGAAAGAACTATTCTTAAAAATTCTATCAAATAATAAGCTTTGTAATATGGAATAGGTTCATAATCATTTTAAAATTTATATAACAGTATTTTGTCACAAAGACACATTTGTTTTTAAAATTTATCTCCATTAAATATTTCAACTTTATTTCACTGCTAAATAAACAATTCTTTTTCTCTTCCTCTTTCTTCTTGATGCAGGGAGGTGTCAGTGGGCCCAGTGGGCTAGTGACAATAGTGACTCCATGGGCTAGTACCTGAGAACATTTTGCAATTAAGCTTACAAGAAAAATAATTCTTGCAAACTGTGATTTTTATTAAAATATTTAGATTCTTGTGTATATTAATTACATATTACTTACATAAAAATAAATTTCTAATATTTAAAATTAAATTTTTGAAAAAAGTGCAACATTAGTAATAATTATATTTACACATTTAAATTACTTCCATACAATAATGGAATACCACACAATTTTAAGAATTAGAATATATATCCTATTATCATATCTATATACAAAATTTTAAACCACTTGTATTGTGTAAAACATTCTAAACTCTGAATGAACGTTATATGCATCATGGGTTTTACATTTGTAGGATAAAATAGTAAATAATATTCATAAGATTAACACTACAGACATTCCATTCAATTAAATTTCATGATATTTTGACATCATTTACATGCATTTAAAATGTCAAATAAAACATTCTGTTTCAGCATATCAAATATGATATGGCATGCTGCCAGTGACACTTGGCTCCTGTATTATTTTTGCCACTGACACTTGGCTCCTGTATTATTTTTGTCAGTGACACTCACATTATATTTGATATAGATGACCCATGAACGAAAATTGAAACATATCATATATGATAGAGTAGGTGTAAAACAACTTCCTACATATGTCTCACATAAACATAAACATAAACATATACATATATACATATACTTGAGCCTCCAGCCATTCCAACTGTACATTTCTCAATCAGAAACAAAAATATAAAAGCAACTATTCTAAACATAAGTTTTAGCGATCACTTTTATGTTTCAAAAGATGCAATTTCTTATTTTATTTCAAAAACTGTTAACTGCTTTGAAAACTGTTAACTACCTGATACAATTCCTTTTCTTCACGTTTTATAGATTCCATCAAAGGTCTAATAATTGGATTTAATTTTTCAGGAAGATACTTTAAAGATACTAATGCTCCTGCAATCGCAGACTGCACCCTACAATGAACAATTCATATGTTACACACGTTTACACCAAAAAATAAAATAATAAATAAAAGAAAATTAAACTCTTAGAAAACTACACTGCAAGATGAACTAACCAGGAGTAATGAATTGATTATTTAAAAGCACTAATAACACCAATAAAATTATTTTTAATACATAGGAAATGTTGAAATATTCTAAAATTTAGCAATAAATCAATCTTTTCATTGAATAATTTTTTAAAAAAATTAAAGAATAGATAACACAATTAATAAATAAAATAAACTTACATTACTGTTAGTGAAGCTTGTTCATGACTTGTTTGAGTGACTGATTTAAATAGGGACTTCCGTCTTTCTTCAAGTGTCTGAATTTAAATAATAACAATAGTAATAAATAAATAAATTCCAAAATAAAGATATATTAATAGTACAATTCATGTTTTACTTCAAAAAATTAAAATGCCCCTTTCTCATTTTATTCCATTACACATATCATGAGATGTTTTACAAGATTCTACTTATTGCTTGCAATTAAAGGAGATTCCCCAGTCATCCTAGAATGATAAACAATGAAATATAATGATATAAAAAATATTTATCTGGGGCAGGCAGTGTTAAAAGAATACAAGGTACAGATATTTAAAAGGCATTCAAAAGAAACCTAAAAGTGCAAAAGCTGAACAATTTAAATTTAAGATATTCCGATGGGAACATATAAGGAAGTACTGGTTATTTTAAGGAAATTTCAACTATTGTACATTGGACTCGAAATAAGTTAAAAGCAATATCATCTTATTACTTTCCTATTTTACCACTGGCAACAAATTCAGATAAAATAAAATATTTAATCAAGAAGAAATAAATTTCATTTTATTTCATAAAACAGACAAATCCTAATTTATTGATGCTGATGATGAGTTTTAAGATCACGTCCCTTGAAAATCAGTACAATATTTAAGATTATTTTGATTTATCACTTAGCTCTTCATATAATTAGAAAATAGAACACATAAAAAACAAAGAATTCAATTTTTTTTAACTTTCATGTTTGATACATTGTTTTAAAATTTAATAAGCACACACAATGAATTTAAAGAACTGTTTGGTGATTTTAAATACATTTGGTTTGGTTTTAAATAGCTGCGTGAATGCCCTTTGGTTACAAACATTCTAATTTTCATTTTTTTGGAATAAAATATATTTTTTATTTGTGTCACAATATGTTACATGTACATTATCAGCACAATCAGAAATGAAACTGTTAATATATAAAATCAAATGATCTAATGTTCACAAGTTATGTACAGAATCGACACTTCATTTTACCTTCCACTGACTATTTTATATCACCTATTTCCTATAAAACTGAAAAAGGTGCCATTACTCATGGTTCAGTCATGAGGTGAAGGTGAAGAAATGATATCATTGAAAAATAAATTAAGAGATTAGAAGCAGATGATAACATTAGACTGCTGCAAAGGCATTATCACAGCTACCAATCCTGAAATAAGAAAAAGTAGTAGTTTCTTGCAGGTTTTCCTACTTCCATTTTAAAAGAACTCCAAATTGATTTAAATTCACTTTGTAATGCATGATTCAGGTTACTGAACTATCTACATGATTTTGATTTAAATATATTAGTATATAATTAGCTACTTTAAATTTTATGCCGTTTGGCTAACTTCATTTCATAATTTTCTTACACTTTTTTATAAAAAGAAAATCCTGAGTAGGAATGGAATGTTTGTACTTATCCTAAGTACTCTGCATATGATGAAAATAAAGTAAATTAATATGCATACTATTGTGTGCATATATTAGGTAATGTACTATATATCTGTATAAAACAAAATTAAATACACATATTAACTGATTAAACATTGCTTGAATCTTCATAAAAGTTGCTATGAATGTCTACAGTAGATCAGACAATACAAATCAAATAAAATTCAATTAAAAAAGAAAAATGCTAAAAATCACAAGAAATGGGAATGTAATGAAATAATGTAGTGCATTAATTCAATTAATGAAAATTTAAAAAATTCTCATTAGTTTTCCTTAGTAAAAGTTAAAAATTAAAAACTGGGAGATATGATGTAAATATCAAAGCAATCAGTAAGTATAGGCATTCAAATATATAAGTACATAAATGCGGTGAGAAAAACAATTATAGAAACTTTTAGTGCTACAACTCGAGAAGAGAAAAATGTAACTCATGCATAGGGGAAGAAAACTAAATTAAGATTTTTAGGGCTAGAGATGCAAAGAATGATGAAGCACAGTAAATGATAAACTATCTGTTTAGGCTTAATATACTCGGGTATAATTTAATTAGGCTTAATATATTAACAACAAAAGTGATGAAAATAATGATTTTTAACATACAAATCATATGTTAATTGGAACTAAATTGTACCTAAAGAATTTCTTAGTTATCTTTTCCCAAACTATTCTCAGTTTACATTAATAGATATAATTTACTCTTTACATAGCTTTTACATTACTTTACATAGCCAAATCATACTAATTCACGAAACAGAATGCCAAATTATAAAGCAATATTTGAAATGAAATAAAACTAAATCCAGAGATAGGAAAAAGTGAACTCTTAAAGAAAATTTAGACAATTATTTGCCTTTAGTGGACAAATGTGCAAGGTGATCAGTGCAACAGGGCTAATATTTCTGGTGATACAGTTATGAATTCAGCACAGCAATGATTCATCGGTTAGTTGGTTGGATTATGGTACAAAACTTGTACAAAATTACGAGTGAATGAATAATTATTGCTTTTTTTTTAAATTTAGATTAAAAAAAATGGTAAATTATATGCAATATAAAAATATCACAATCTAAATTACTGCATTGATTGAATTGAGTGGTATAATTCTCTCCTGCTGCACTAAAAATTCTGTGGCACACATGTAAGTTTTTAATTCATTTTCATTGTGAAAATGTTTGAAACCATTTACTTGGTCACTAATTGTATTCCCACAGGTTGTTAATGAACAAAGTGTAGTGGTCACAATGTTCCCTACAGATTAAGGAAAAGATGCCAGTTCATATTAGTTGTGTATGGCTTTGAACTCAACAACTAAAAAATTATCATCAGCATATCAACATGCCATCATTTTACCCTCTGTGCATACCAGAAAACACTGACTGTTGATGATACTTTAAACTATGATTCTATGTTGCCAAGCTATATAGTCAAGCTTTGTTTTTAGCCAGTGATCACTACTACTAAAGTATATATTCATGACAACGTCAAGTTCCTTCAGGATTAAACAGTACAGTTTGACAACTTATTCATTTCAGACAAATCACTGAAAAAGTGTCTGTTGTAATATTGTTACATTTTTCTTACGTACGGGTTCCTGGATTTGGAGTAAGTAACAAGAACAACACTTGATGAAGTATCAATCAAAACACAATTTATTATCTAGTATTACTCAGGACAGCTCTAAAAATATGTTAACAATCGTTGAACGTCAAGTGCACTGAAACAATCAGCAGCACAGCTTTCAGGCTATAACGATGAAAACAGCTTCACGGCAAAGTACCAGAGTACAGCTCCCAACCTGCTTCAGTCATTCTCAGAACTCTATATACTCTCGAGACTCTCCATGCTACAGCTTGAAAAGCACTAGACGATACACTCGATAACCTCAACAATGCACACTCTCGATGCATCAACTCACGATACAGATGACGACCAACTCGATGGACTAGGCACTGACTGACTGCTATTCTGTGTGAAAGGCAGACCCTGCTGTTATATATAGCTTTTGTGCCCCTGGCATGTTCTGGGAGAACATTCTGCCACCACCGGTAAGAATTCGTTCCAGAAGCGGTTTCATCGAGTGCTTGGGGTGTGCTTGATATGCATATTGCGAATTTTGGTTGCCAATATGGCAACCCTGTTCTCCGTTATGGCAACAATAAACCCACTTTGCGGGGAAGCTATCTTACTGCGGCTGGGCATTTCGGAACACTGCCCCTCCCAAGGACTGCATGTTCTGGGCAGTACAATCATAGGTCAGAAGTCAAATTCAATACAACTGAAGCATAAGAAAACAAACAAATAACATAACTAAAACAAATATTTACACTATGTACAAGTCATACACAGATTAACCACATGAAAATTTTAAATTATACAAATTAAAGTCCAGAAAGGATTTCAGTCTCAAGCTTTTCGTTAAGTTATACACGGGTAAAATACTCTTTCACTGCAGTTCTCACATGTATTTCTGCTTTGCGTATCACAGTCTAAAGATTCAGTCCTTTCAGACTTTTCATCCACAGGAAGATTTGAAATAGTTTGTTCCCCCTCTGTAGTTTATTCACATCATGTGTTCACCTCGGTATTTTTAGCAATTGGTACATGCTTATTTTCATCTATTTACTGAAAAACAGTTTCGATGTTCACATTAAAGTTATGAATAGAATCCAATTCTTTACAGGAAGATGTATTCTGGTTTAGAATCAAGTCAATGTCTGCACAATCTGCATTATGTGACACACACTTAGTTTGTGAAGTGGATGTATTTTTTTGCAATACTGGAACACTCTGCTTAAGCTGTTCATCAGCTTCTCCCCTCTCTGCATCACATGAATTTTCAGATGGTTCAATACTTTCTGTGACTTCGTAACTTCACTATCAGTTTCTATGAACTTAACAGTCGCATTTTCTTCCACTTCTACTTCAGGCACTTGAGAATAGAAAGCTTCTTTCCCATCTTTTATTTCTTCATGTTTTCGTTCTTTTTCTTTAATCCCATTAGATGTTTCCTCCATCATTTCTTGTTCTTTCTCAAACATTTCAGAAAAAACTTCCTTCATTTTTTTCGTCCTTTGATTCTTCAGCTGCCACTTCTGTCATTTCCACATCTTCTTGGACGGCTCCAGTTTCTGCTGTAAGCTCCACTTTCATTTGTTAGAGTTGCTGTCGCAGCTTTTCTTGGCCAGTTTTTATTTCTTCTTAAATTTTGATCTGAAACTCTTCTTGTCCAACTTTAAAGAGCAGTCTGTTCTCTCAAATTTTTAAAACAATGGTATGCACATGTTTAGCAGAATCTCTGTCAACTTTCATACTGATGGAAAAATTAATTTTGCTTTGAAGTACAGTACACTCCCGATTATCCGCGAAATTGGGTGGCGCGGCCTCCGCGGATAACAAAAATCGCGGATAATCCGAGAAAAGCTAAAAATGGGTATAGCAAAGGAGAAAACAGTCATTTCAACTTTGAAAAATCATTTTATGTACAATAAAACGTAAAATAAACGGCAGGAAATGTTTAAATAACGCTTAATATTTTAGTATATCACTCAAAACTAATCTAAAATGCATTTTGTTAATGAAAACA